GGTCTAAGGTTTAAAGACTTGAAGGCAAACACATCCTTTTAATCGCGTGAGTTACTACGGGACTCATTTTTCGGAGCCTGACTTGATTTATGAACGCCTGGGGCTAGCAATGCTGCTTTTCTCTTCCTTTGGCTGCCACTTGTTTTTCATCATCTCCAATACGTGTACTAAATTTCCATTATATTCCCAGCTAACTTTACTTAATCCAAATTTCACTTGACAGATTTCCCCCCTTCTCCTCAGCCACTCATTATAGAAGCACGACTGTCCTCTCACCGGATTTATTTCAGTGACTCGAGATTTGAAAAGGCCCAATTTCTGTTCCCCCTTAGATAAAATCCCAGCTGTCCCCTTTAAATCCCTTAGGAATTTAGGATATTGGGAGGTTGTTTGTCTTTTTCAGACACTTGAGAAATATGCATAAGAAAAAATTAAAAGACTGGAGACTTTCTCTTCTGAGGCCATGTCTAGACTAGCCTTTTCTGTTCTGCTGTAACTAAAGAGTGAACACATGTTAACTAACTCATATCCTGAATGTTTATGTCCTGGAACACAAGCAGCCTAGATCTCCCGCACTGCAACTTGAGACTATTGCTCTTTGTTTGGTCATCTACCACTATTTTGAACAGCTTAGCGCCATCCTCTTTGAAACCTCCCCACCCCACTTCAGGTAGTTGAAAGCTGCTAACAAATTCCCTCTTGTATCCCCTCTTGTGTCAATACATCTTGCTATTATTATATATTTAACAGACCAGCATTGTCTAGGGGATAGATCACCTAGGTAGGACTCTCAGATCTGGGCTCTGTTCTGATCCTGGCCTGCTGCATGACATGGGACACGTTACATTGCCATTGTATGCCTCAGTTTCGCTACCTGCACAATTCACTGTAAAAATGCTTTGTAAGAACTAGTGATGAGCAGTGCTGTATAAGAAGTAGGTACTGTTATTTGTTTGTATGGTGATGGTGCCTCTTAGCCTCTGGACGTGCTCCCCCAAAACTGGATGTCAGCAGATAAACTGCATATGGAATCTGACCAGTTAGCATTGTTCTAGCTCTCGGTAACAATAATAATACATAGCAGATAGGACAAGGAGGCACATGAGAGGGAAAGGAGGGCTCAGGGTTAGAGCAGTAGCCTCAGACTTAACTCTCAACTCCACGGAACTCCCAGCCCGGAGCCCAGCTGTTTCTTCGGGGTTCTTGCCTTCCTGCTCCCAGCCGGGAGTGGGTGGCACGGAAGCCGTCTCTTGCGTCCAGTGGGGAGAACCGAGAGCTGGAGGCGGGAGAACTGTGCTCCAAGCGTCGGGCTTCCTGCCGGGGGGGATTGCAGCGCAGCAGAGCTCTCTGTAGGGAGTGGGGAACCCCAGCGACAGCTGTAGCTGGGAGACTGGATGGCAGCCCAGCTTGGAATGGAGACAGGGCAGCAGCCAAGAGCTGATGTCGGTCATAAATATAAAGGGAAGGGTAAACACCTTTAAAATCCCTCCTGGCCAGAGGAAAAACCCTTTCACCTGTAAAGGGTTAAGAAGCTAGGATAACCTCGCTGGCACCTGACCACAATGACCAATGAGGAGACAAGATACTTTCAAAGCTAGAGGCAGGGAGAAACAAAGGGTCTGGGTCTGTCTGGGTGATGGTTTTGCTGGGGACAGAACAGAAATGGAGTCTTATAACTTAGTAAGTAATCTAGCTAGATATGTGTTAGATTATGTTTGTTTAAATGGGTGAGAAAATATGCTGTGCCGAATGGAATGGATATTCCTGTTTTTGTATCTTTTTGTAACTTAAGGTTTTGCCTAGAGGGATTCTCTGTGTTTTGAATCTACTTACCCTGTATGGTATTTACCATCCTGATTTTACAGAGGTGATTCTTTTTATTTTTTTCTTCTATTAAAATTCTTCTTTTCAGAAACTGAATGCTTTTTCATTGTTCTTAAGATCTAAGGGTTTAGGTATGTGGCCACCTATGCAAATTGGTGAGGATTTTTATCAAACTTTCCCCAGGAAGCGGGGGGTGCAAGGTTTTGGTGAGGATTTTGGGGGGAAAGACGTTTCCAAACAGGCTCTTTCCTAATAAAATAAACCCGGTTAGATGTTTGGTGGTGGCAGCGAAAGTCCAAGGGCAAAAGGTAGAATAGTTTGTACTTTGGGGAAGTTTTAACCTAAGGTGGTAAAAATAAACTTAGGAGCTTTTTCATGCAGGTCCCCACATCTGCACGCTAGAGTTCGGAGTGGGGAAGGAACCTTGACAATGTCAGTAACGCAGTGTCTACGTAGACTTTGTTTTGCCCTAACTACACAACAGGACGTAAGCCCTACGGGTCTCAAGGAGGTGAAAGTATTATGTCGCTGTACTGGGGCATGTACATCGGCAGGAGCAAGGCCGTAGTATGTACACTGACATAACTAGGTCGATGTAAGATGCCCTCTGTTATGGTCTCTAATGTTTTTATGCACAAGATCACTTTTTAAATTTACGATCAACCCAGGATAGATCAACCTTGCTTCTTCCCCAAGGCCATGATCGTTCCCCAAGGCCCCCGCCTCCATTCCCCCTCCCTCCTTCGCTTGCTCTCCCCCCGCCTCATTCACTTTCATGGGGCTGGGACAGGGGTTTGGAGTGTGGGAGGGAACTCCGGCCTCAGCCTGGGGTAGCGGGTTGGGGGAGGTGTGAGAGGTGCAAGCTCTGGAAGGGCGTTTTGGTGCAGGGGTCATATAGTCACACTGCACCTAATGTCATAGAATCCACTGAACACTGGTCTACACTGATGTGGATAAATTGGAAAGAGTCCAGCGAAGGGCAACAAAAATGATTAGGGGTCTGGAACACACAATTTATGAGGAGAGGCTGAGGGAACTGGGATTGTTTAGTTTGCGGAAGAGAAGAATGAGGGGTGATTTGATAGCCGCTTTCAACTATCTAAGAGGTGGTTTCAGAGAGGATGGTTCTAGACTAGTCTCAGTGGTGGAAGAGGACAGGACAAGGAGTAATGGTCTCAAGTTGCAGTGGGGGAGGTTTAGGTTGGATATTAGGAAAAACTTTTTCACTAGGAGGGTGGTGAAACACTGGAATGCGTTGCCTAGGGAGGTGGTGGAATCTCCTTCCTTAGAAGTTTTTAAGGTCAGGCTTGACAAAGCCCTGGCTGGGATGATTTAATTGGGTATGGGTCCTGCTTTTGAGCAGGGGGTTGGACTAGATGACCTCCTGAGGTCCCTTCCAACCCTGATATTCTATGATTCTATACACTAATGTAGAAGCGAAAAATCAATCCCCGATCTTTTCTGCCATCGACTCTGGAACGCCACCACTGCGAGAGGTGGAAGCAGAGTCGACGGGGGAGTGGCCACCATCGATCCCGTGCCGCAAGGATGTGAAGTCTATGATTCTAAGTTGATCTAAGATACATCGACTTCAGCTACGCTAGTCTTGTAGCTGAAGTTGCATATCTTAGATCGATCCCCCAGAGTAGAGCACAATTTTACACTGAGCTTTACTTTTTATTCGTGTCATTTGTAGTTTTGAGCTCCAAAATCCTTCGGGGATTGTCACATTCTCAACTGCGGTGTGTGCATTGCTTGAGCCTGGGGCAAGGGGTTGGAGTGCAGGAGTGAGGGGGTGCAAGCTCTGGAAGGGAGCTTGGGTGCAGGAGAGGCTCCGGGATGGGGCAGGGGGTTGGGGTGTGGGAGTGGATGCGAGGTGTAGGCTCCAGCCAGGAGGCGCTTAACACAGGTGACTCCAGGTCAGCAACACAGTGGGGCTCAGGCAGCCTGCCTGCCTGTCCTGGCCCCATGCCACTCCCGGAAGTGGCTTGCTGCTGGCAAATCTCTGCGGCCCCTGTGGGAGAGGGGGCAGCGGGTCTCTGCCAGGAACCGACCAGTGGGAGCTGCGGGGATGCTGCTGGGTGGGGAGAGGGCAGGATGAGGAGCTGCCTCCCCCTCACCTCCTCCCTCCAGGGGCTGTGAAGACATGCTAGCAGCCAGCTGCTTCTGGGAGCAGTGTGGGGCCAGGGCAGTCTGACTGAGCCCCGCTCCACCACCGGACTTTTAGTGGCCCAGAGATCATGACTGACTAGCAGAGGCTTCAGGATCGACCAGTTGATCATGATCCATGGGTTGCTGACCACTGTCTTATGTCGACCTAACTGTAGTGTAGACCCAAGGCTCAAGTGAACCTGGCTCAATTTCCTGCTCCACCGTACGTTTGTGTGACCTTGGGCAAGTCACTTATAGCCAATTTTTTAAAGGTGTTTAGGTACCTAAAGATGCAGCTAGGCACTAAGTTCCTCACTGCATCTTTACACCAAGTGCCTTTGAAATCTGTCCTCCCATTCCCTATCTGTAAAATGGAGATGATGCGAACAACACCTAATGTTTACCTAGCACTTTTTATCTTTAGCTCTTAAAGCACCAGTTTTAAAGTTTGTTTCAGAGTAGCAGCCGTGTATTCGCAAAAATAGAAGGAGGACTTGTGGCACCTTAGAGACTAACAAATTTATTTGAGCATAAGTTTTCGTGAGCCACATCTGATGAAGTGAGCTGTAGCTCACGAGCGCTTATGCTCAAATAAATTTGCTAGTCTCTAAGGTGCCACAAGTACTCCTTTTCTTTATACCTAGACAGTTTGTATATATTTTATTTGTATAGTTTTCCCCTATTGCCTGGCCCTGCTATGATCGGGAGTATACCCACCTTCAATTATTTTTCCCCTAGCAGTTTGGGGTGGAGAGAGGAATGCTAAACCTTTGAATCATTAAAATTCTAGTTCACAGAATACCAACAATTAACTAATATTAACCACAAATAGTTTCCTCTTTACTGTTTATCTCTATGACCAGGGGGTGTGCACACCTGAATGACCAATCGCTTTTGAGTGTATGGTATACCTTTTAGCAGTATTCTCAACAATTACAACAATTACAATTCTGCCCCTTTTCACAATTCTCCACCAAAAATGTTATCCTTAAACAAAGCACACGAGATCTTTTTATAGGGGAGAAGGCAACACGCATTTATTGAGAATACAGCTAGCATATTCTTTTTAGTCACCCCCCGCGCCCCATGCGCACAGTCCATGCACACAGTCCTGCCAGTTGATGTTTATAGTTACCAATCCAGAGTCTGGATCAATCTAGTGGCCAGCCAGATTGGTCACAGAGTGGAGCCGGGCTCTGTTGGTCACAATCCGATGCTCCTGGAGTAGTGTCAAGACGAACCCAAAGTCCCATGACAAAGCATTCTGTTCTTATAGTCTTTTTTGGTTGTTGTTGAAGTCTATGGATTTTTCTGTGTCAGTTTGTGACCGGTTACTTCTTAATTTGGTGTTATTTTTTGGTGACACCTGAGGGTCATTCTGTCTGGTTTTGATTTAATTTTTATTTTGTGGTTTAAGGTTGCCAGCTTTCACCTCAGGGTTGTCAGTCTGCCCCTCCTCAACCATGGATGGGTGTTGATGGTTCTCTGCTCTCTCTGAGTCTTCAGTCTCTTTAGTTTTTTTACTCCTTCTCCCTTGACCATTTGGCTTCAAAAATGGCCTTTACATTTTATTTTTTTCCTATGCATATATTCCTTATTTACAAGTTTTTGCAGAGTCCTAACAAATAGCAGTGTTTTATGTTGAACAAGAAAGGCATCATAAATTAGACCCTACTAAATTTTGTAACTATCCTTTCCCATATTGGGTCCTGGCCCTCCAAAATTCCTCTAATTTAATACATTTAATACATCCTTACAAACTAGGAGCATAACCTGCAGCTTTGGCACCACTGACTCAGGCCCCAGGGGCAGTGCCGTTGAGTCAGGTGCCCACCGACTCCCTGACTTGCAGCTTAGTTGAGGTCCAGTTGCCTCCTACACCAGATACCTCTGCGGCTGCAAGGGATCTTATTATCTTGACAGTATCGGCATCCACTCAGCTCAGACCAAGGCGCCGGCACCTGTACATGTGGCACCACCCCGAGGCAAGCCAGAACTCATCCACCTGCCGGCACCGTTGGTCGAGCTGTGGCACTGATTCCGTTCTCGGCCCTGTTCCCACTCCCGATGCTGCTCGTAATCCTGGCACCCCTCTCCATCGCGACACTGCTCATACTCGCAGCACTTGTCTCGGCACCGCTCCGTGTGCCAGTCGCCGTTGAGGAGCCAATCCCAGACCTGATGCCGCTCATCATTTTGGCCCAGGTACAGATCCAGTCACGGTTCCAGATCTTAGTACTGTCCAGGTCCCAGCACCGCTCCCCAGCATCGTGACACCACTCTCTATCGCCTCATCGACGTGACTTGGCGCAGATCCACTCAGCACCACCATGGCCATCACGTTCTTCCTCTCATTCTAAAGGATCGGAGGCGGGCTCGTGCTTCTCAGAACGCTGCCATTTGGACCACAGCCACATGGACTAAGGGGCTGGACACTGGCAGGCACAGGAGCAAGGTCCCACTCAAGGGTCTACTCAATAGCCAGGGTGCTCTGTCTGGGACTTCTCAATCAGCCCCATCTGAGCCACGAGTGCCAGAGGCTACCGCCAGCTGACCCACCCCATGATGGCTTCTCTCCCTGCTTCAGGTCCCCCTCCAACTCCAGTTCCTGGTCCAGGCACTGAGGTCGCTGGCACAGGGCTACTGGGCCCAGCTCTCCAAGAGGCCCCAGACAACCCACCTTCTCCCCCTCATCCGATGAGGCGGTGGCAGGCACTGCAGTATTGGGTCCCCCTCCGATAGACCTCCGCACCCACCAGGACCTCCATGCGCAGGGTAGCGCAGAATACTAACTCCAAACCTCAAATAAACTACTGGAGGAGCAAACAGCTGTGCATATCTCTCGATCAGTGTTATAGAGGGTGGAAAATTTATGGGTTTACCCTGTATAAGCTTTATACAGAGTAAAATAGATTTATTTGAGGTTTGGATCCCATTGGGAGCTGGGTGTCTGGGTGCTGGAGACAGGAGCACTTGCTGAGCTCTTTTGTTTAGACTTCAGATTTGAGGGCATTAACCAAACTTTGGGTCTGTGTTGCAGCAGGCTACCTTGTCTGGTTCAACAAGACAGGGTTGTGGAAGCCCCAGGCGGGCAGGGAAAACGGGCTCAGAGATAGTCTCAGCACATCAGGGGGCAGTCTCAAGGGGGTCTCTGAGACAGAACCCATCACAGTGGTGTAGTCAAACAGGATATGTGCACAGCTGATTGCTTTGAGACACTGGTAGTGAGTTTGAGTGAGTTTTAAGCGCGGTGGCTGGAGAACAGACAAAGGAGTTACTGGTTTGTTACTTTCTGTTTGCTTATTTTGGGTTAGGGAAATAAGGACAGAAAAGTAAGCAAAATGAGTGAGAGTGAAGCTCAGAAGAAGCTAGAACTTCAGAGGCTGCAGATTGCTGAGAAGGAAAATGAACACAAAAGGCAGATGGAATTAAGACAAATGGAAATTGATGTGAAAATTGCCAGGGAGAAAGCTGCTCATGAAAGAGTCACGGAGTTAAAAGGCAAAGAACTTGAGGCCCAGAAACAGGTCCAAATTGAAGCATAAAAATCTCTCCTGGAAAAAGAAGTCTGCCCACCAGCAAGCCCTGGAACTTAGGCAGCTGGAGGCTGACAAAAGGCAGCCCACCAGCAAGCCCTGGACTTAAAAGACAAAGAAATTGAGGCCCAGAAACAGGCTGAGATTGAAGCACAGAAAGCTGCCCAGGAGAAAAAGAAAAGAGAGAGGCAGCAATTCCTGGAGTTAAGAGTCAAAGAAATACAGGCCCATATTGAGACCCAGAAGCATGAGCTTGCTGTAATGGAGTGGAAGAATCAAAAACCTTCAGCAGCTGGCTCCACTTCCCCAAAAGTCCACAAATGGGAACGGTTATTCCCACCATATGATGAATTCAGTGATACTGCCCAAAATGTCATCACATTTGAGAGACTGTGCACTCTCCATGCAATTCCCGAGGATCAAAAGATGACTACTTTGGTAGCAAAACTGATTGGAAGAGCTCTGGATTTATTCAATAAGATGCCTACTGCTGATGCTTCAAACTGTGGTACCGTTAAGGAATTGGTTTTGAAACATTTTCAGATTACACCTGGAACCTACAGGGTTAAATTAAGGAGCCTTAAGAGGGGAACTGGACTAAGTAATGTACTTTATGTAAATGAAATGAAGGATTTGTTAGTCAAGTAGGTGAGGGGAAAAGGCATTACAGGCTTTGAAGAAATGTGCAATTTGGTTCCTCAGGGGCAGTTCCTAAATATGTGCAGTGATGATGTGTTGCGGTTCAAATACCAGACAGAACAAGGCTTTAAGCAAGCAAGCAGGCTGGTCTGCCGACGGGCTGGTCTCCTGTCAGCTTTCCACCCTCTCTTTTATTCTTTCTCTCCCCCCACGCATTACATACTCCAACAGATAAAAGGAATACACTGGCTTTGTTCTTATTCTTATTTACCGATATCTATCTACCGCATTCCTTGCTCTCGGGCCTTGAGCCCAGTCCTGGGAGGCTTCCCACGGTTCATGTCATCTGGGCGAGATTCCAAGGTTCATGCCCTTGAGAGGAGCCGTGTGTGCACTGCTCCTACACAACACTCTGGGTGTGCCCTGAATGTTGCCAAGTGCATGAACCTTGCATGAATGCTACAATGAGGTAAAAGAGTATTTGTGGGACAAAAAGGTGGATGCAGTGGGGAACTGAGCAGGTAACACATGAACCTGCTGCTTCTCCGAGCACAGGGGTATCCCAGGCTGCTGCCTCTTACCACACAGGATTTGTAAAGGTTGCTTCTACGCAACCAAGCAGTGAGCATATGCATGCTGTTAAGCTCAATGGCAAAGTATGCCAAGGTTGGAGGGATACTGGTATAGAAATTTCTGTTGTCAAGAGGGACCTGATCCAGGAGAAGGATTTGTTACCAGGAAAAATGGCAGAATTAGAACTGGTGGGAGATTAAAGTCCTTGCACCTTTAGCTAAGGTACACATGGAAACTGGTGATTTGCAGGTTGAACTGACTGTCGCAGCAGTGGCACACAATTTTGCACTGTTTCTTCTGGGAAATGATTTTTTTGATGCGGCAGAGTCTGTCCCAGGGTTTGTTAGCAGCAAGAAGGAATCTTGTGCTGAAAGCCCCAGAGGGGAGGGTGAAGTCACATGGGCTGCTGGGGAAATAGGAGAGTGTCTCTAATTCTTCTGTAGCAGTGGAAAATGGGCCGTTGGGGGCAGGGATGCTCAAGACCATCAAGGCAGGTCCCTGCGGGAGAGGGTGTCTACAGCCAGCTCCTGTCTGTGATCATCATGTATTTCTCTATCAGTGTTATAGACGGTGGACAATTTATGAATTTATCCTGTGGTACCACAAGAGGCCATTTTTACAAAAACATAAGCAGATATTTATAGCTACAGTCTGCTCTTAAAGGTGACCTGAAAAAAAAATCCAGCAACTGTAGTAATAGGCTCAGGCCTTCAAATGGCAAGGGGCACTGAGCACTTACTAGCATTTACATTTACCTTTCCTTACAGCTCCCCCAGAGGAAAGATCACCAGCTCCTTCCTGACCCCAATCCTGATCAAATGAAGTCAGTGGAAGTTTGGCCACTGATTTCAATAGCAGCAAAATCAGGCACCCAGAATGCAACTATGACCCTGTAGTATTTGACACAGAACTCCACAGTAACAAGGCGTGGCCTTAGGAATGGGGGTGGCTTTTTTAACATAGTGCAGTTTCACAAAGTTTCTTTGATTGCTGTCACAAGGTTATAAAATCATAGTAATTAAAACAGGACACCGGTAATGTTATTGGCACAGGATGTTATCAGGATGCTCAGATCTAATCTGTAGTCACTCGGTAAATGCTTCATTCATAGAATATCAGGGTTGGAAGGGACCTCAGGAGGTCATCTAGTTCAACCCCCTGCTCAAAGCAGGACCAATCCCCCACTAAATCATCCCAGCCAGGGCTTTGTCAAGCCTGACCTTGAAAACCTCTAAGGAAGGAGATTCCACCACCTCCCTAGGTAACGCAGTCCAGTGCTTCACCACCCTCCTAGTGAAAAAGATTTTCCTAACATCTAATTTAAACCTCCCCCACTGCAACTTGAGACCATTACTCCTGGTTCTGTCATCTGGTACCACTGAGAACAGTCTAGAGCCATCCTCTTTGGAACCCCATTTCAGGTAGTTAAAAGCAGCTATCAAATCCCCTCGTTCTTCTCTTCTGCAGACTAAACAATCCCAGTTCCCTCAGCCTCTCCTCATAAGTCATGTGCTCCAGCCCCCTAATAATTTTTGTTGCCCTCCGCTGGACTCTTTCCAATTTTTCCACATCCTTCTTGTAGTGTGGGGCCCAAAACTGGACACTCCGTTGCCTTGCACCTTCTGCAGTCATTTACACCAAGGCAAGGCAGGTGTAAAACATTACTTTTCTGACTGGACAGCTTGTCACACTCAATAAATGACACACCAGGTACAGGGCAGGGGAGAATCACGCCCAAAAAATCTGTTTCTTTCAAGGAGATCTCCCCTCTCAGTTCCTCCTCCTGATCCCTTGTCTCTCAGTGACTCTGTTCTTTTCCAGCTGAGCCACAGACTGCTTCAGGTCTTCCACTATCACGTCCACATCCTCCTTGGTGGTGTCCCGCCCCACACTGAGCCGCAGGGCATTCTGAGCCACTTCATAGGGAATCCCACAGCTGAGTAGTACAGAGGAGGGCCTGGAAAACAACAGAATGAAAGCAGGGTTTAACCCTTTAAACATCACGGAAACACATTCCTCCCCTGTAAAATTCACTAGGATAGTAAAAACAAGTATAATTATCTGAGCAGTGGCAGCCCCCTCCTCCGCAGCAGATTATACACTCTCCCTGTCATTCTGGCTGGAAGGCACTGGATTCTTCTAGGAGTTGGTCAGTGCTGTTCAGTCTAGTCAGCTGGAGGTGTCAAGACAATGATGTGAGATACTTGCTCTTGCCTCTGCCTACTGGAGCTAAACACGCTGATTCCACAGTACTTTTGGCCTGCAGTATTTCAGCTAGGCAGGAGTAAGCCAGTGACCCATGCCACAAACTGGGATCAAACCCATCTTCCGCGTGGCAGTCTATAGCACTAAAAATAAAGACGCTCAGGGTACCCGAGCTCTATGATTCTATGAAAACACCAAGGTTTCTTACTCAGATTTTGGACTCTGAACAATCTGGAATCTTCTAGCCTCATGGCTCAGCTGGTCATGAGGTGTCCTATCTTTCCAGTCTGACTGCTCTCATTCTGACCCTGCAAATGCTGAGCTCCTCAGGTCAGCTTCCCTGTTTTCCAAGTGCTCTGAGCATACCATCAGTGACATGGCACATAACAGCAGGAGAGCGAGTCACCACCTGAGCACCTCACTGCCCTGTCTATTCAGTGAGAAACTACCCAATGTCACACTAATCCCTGTTACTCAGTGACTCGATTTGTTTACTGTACATCCTCAACCTACTCCTGGGGGTTACTCAGGACCATGTGGAAAGCACTACTCTTCCTGTGTGATCCCAAAGGAGCAGTTTGAAGGAGCAATTTTTTATGAGAAACTATTTCATAAAGGTGCAAACTCAGTCCCCTTCAACCTGACCTCTTTCGTCCCAGGAGAACAACTCAGTATCACAACATGTATTGCTTACTGGTCACCCTTCTCAGAGTGGCATGCAGCACCAACACTGGCAAGTAGAGTCTTGCAGTGGGACAGCACCATCCGCCCTGCAGAAGAGACAAAGCACAGGCCCCGCTCAGCACAGGATACTTACCAAACAGAATGACAGCACAGGGACCCTTCTTTAAACCTCCCATATGCAAATGACCAACCTTAACTTCAAACAACCCTTTCAGCACAACCTCTGAGCAATGTTTTGGCAGGGTCATTTTCCTCTCTGCTTTCAGGGTAAGAATAATAGAATATCAGGGTTGGAAGAGACCTCTAAGGAAGGAGATTCCACCACCTCCCTAGGTAACCCATTCCAGTGCTTCACCACCCTCCTCGTGAAAATGTTTTTCCTAACATCCAACCAAAACCTCCCCCACTGCAACTTGAGACCATTACTCCTTGTTCTGTCATCTGCTACCACTGAGAACAGTCTAGATCCATCCTCTTTGGAACCCCCTTTCAGACAGTTGAAAACAGCTATCAAATCCCCCCTCATTCTTCTCTTCTGCAGACTAAATAATCCCAGTTCCCTCAGCCTCTCCTCATAAGTCATGTGCTCCAGCCCCCGAATCATTTTTGTTGCCCTCCGCTGGACTCTTTCCAATTTTTCCACATCCTTCTTGTAGTGTGGGGCCCAAAACTGGACACAGTACTCGAGATGAGGCCCCACCAATGCCGAACAGAGGGGAATGATCACGTCCCTTGATCTGCTGGCAATGCTCATACTTATACAGCCCAAAATGCCATTAGCCTTCTTGGCAACAAGTGCACACTGTTGACTCATATCCAGCTTCTCATCCCCTGTACCCCTAGGTCCTTTTCTGCAGAATAGCTGCCTACCGATTCAGTCCCTAGTCTGTAGCGGTACATGGGATTCTTCCGTCCTAAGTGCAGGACTCTGCACTTGTCCTTGTTGAACCTCATCAGATTCCTTTTGGCCCAATCCTCTAATTTGTCTAGGTCCCTCTGTATTCTATCCTTACCCTCTAGCACAGTGCTTCTCAAGCTATCTGATATGGGGGACTGGCAATTTTCTTTCCAATGTGTGCGCAGACCAGCAGCTGATGGCCCACGGACCAGCACCAGTCCGCAAACCACCACTTTGAGTAGCTCTGCTCTGCGTATCTGCCACTCCTCCCAGTTTAGTGTCATCTGCAAACTTGCTGCGGGTGCAGTCCACGCCATCCACCAGATCATTAATGAAGATATTGAACAAAACAGGCCCTGGGACCGACCCTTGGGGCACTCCGCTTGATATCGGCTGCCAACTAGACATGGAGCCATTGATCACTACTTGTTGAGCCCAATGATCTAGCCATCTTTCTATCCACCTTACAGTCCATTCTTCTTTAACTTGCTGGCAAGAATATTGTGGGAGACCGTATTAAAAGCTTTGCTAAAGTCAAGGAATAACATGTCCACTGCTTTCCCCTCATCCACAGAGCCAGTTATCTCGTCATAGAAGACAATTAGATTAGTCAGGCATGACTTGCCCTTGGTGAATCCATGCTGACTGTTGCTGATCACTTTCCTCTCCTCCGAGTGCTTCAGAATTGATTCCTTGAGGACCTGCTCCATGATTTTTCCAGGGACTGAGGTGAGGCTGATAGCCTGTAGTTCCTTGAATCCTCCTTCTTCCCTTTTTTAAAGATGGGCACTACATTAGCCTTTTTCCAGTCATCCGGGACCTCGCCCAATCGCCATGAGTTTTCAAAGATAATGGCCAACGGCCCTGGCAGGCCTGACATGCTTCTCCACAGATGAGTGGACTCTGGTGATTCAGCCCTGTGCCTGGCATCCTCCCGCAAGATCAATGAGCCGCTGCTCTCTGGCTCTCTGATCTCTCTCTTGTGCAGGCCTTCTGGCATCCTGCTCCATGGCTGAGGTGGCCATGCAATACGTCTTCTTCAGAGTCTGATAGTACAAGAGGAGAAGCAGCATGCTAGAGGAAGGGGAATTAGGGCCCCAGACAGAGACGTAAAGGATGACCGTGGTTAGGATAGAAGAGAGATACCTTTCAGCCCTGGCCCCAAAACAGAAAAGTTACAAGTGTTGCAGAGCCGCTTGGCGCCTGGAAATTGACTGTTAAGGTGGAGTCTCTGCTTTCCAAACGAAAGCTGGAAAATAAAATAAACATTAACAGCTCCATGAATGTAAACTGCTCTCCCCTGGGTAGGACACAGCTGGACAGGAAGACTGCATGAGGAACATGCCGTAGAGCCCCTATAAGCCTTCATCCCCACCCACCACTAGGGCTTTGGGGAGACCTCCTGGGACTTCACATGTACACAGCCCAGGCTGATTGGTGATTTGAACACTGAGCTGGCAGGCTGGGACACAAGCTCTAGACTGTTTCTGGGGAATTCACCACTGTGCCATGGCAACTTTGCTCTCGTTACACACCCGGTGCAAGGGGGATCCAAGGCCCCCACAGGAAATAAACCAGCATAGGAGTCACCCTAAGGAAGCTGAAGACCCTGCTCTGCTGACTCCACACTCCCACTGCCACTGAAAGAGGCCCTGCTGCAGGGAGAGTTCCCGGGTGGGTGAGTAGCATGTTGTGGAAGTAACCTGGACAACCCTGCTTCCCCATGATTCCTGCACCCCTTCAGAGGGCCCTAAAGGCCAGTGCAGAAGGGCTACAAGTTAGGGACACCAGGGGCAAAACAGCATCCAGCATCACTGAATAGGGGGGATGCATGCCACCGAATTAGAAGGGAGTCATGGCCACAAACAGAAAACCAGTGAAAAGGGTTGTGACTTCCTTCTACAAGAAAGCTGGGGAGGACCAGTGTTGGCTGAGGAGCCGAACAACCTGAAAGGGGGGAGTCCCATTTCACGCCCTTTTTTATCTATTATCTAGGTACTTACCTGGCTCATATAGTGTGTGAGCACCTACCCTTCTTCCTGCTATCCTTCTCAGTCCATTTCCTCCTCCCCCCTTTCTTTATGATCACATATGCACTCCCCTGCTCAGCTTGCTATATCTCAATTGCTTCCTCCCACCATTTCAGAGCCCACTGATGGTGTGGGCTGTGTGTCTCCCTGCCAGATGCTTTTGTCACAGTCCTTCCAAATTGCTGGTTCTCTTGAAAAACACGCCCTTTTCTCCTCCTCCAAGAAGCTTGCTATACAGGCTGCCCAGAGATCAGAGACTCCAGCAGGGGCATAAATGTAACGTGAACCAGGTATGCTCACTTCTAGCCTCTCCTCCAGGTAATCCCGAACCTCCCTCATGTGAGCCTCATAATCCTCACAGTTCTTGTTCACCAGCTCAGCAGCCTGAGTGGGGAGAAGAAAACAAATCAGATGCTATATTTCTCAGCAATTGTAACACAAGACCTTGTGACAATCATGTGAGAAGAACAGTAATCCCCTGGAAATGTACCATAAAAACAGCCATACTGAGTCAGATCAATGGTCCATCTAGCCCAGTATCCTGTCTTCTGACAGTGGCCAATGCCAGATGCTTCAGAGGGAATGAATAGAACAGGAATCATAGAGTGATCCATCCCCTGTTGTCCACTCTCAGCTTCTGAGTCTAAGTCAAGGTAGGAATATGTTTGCCTTTACCAGGAACTATGGATATGGGTGTACAAGTACTAACAACCAGTCAGAATGGAATCATTTCCTCTGCCTCATGTACCTGTATATAAGCCAACTTTTCTGACCTGAAAGGAGGCACACTTGGGAGTGGAAAGGCTTATACATGAATTAATTCCACCGAGGTGGAATTTGCATTGGTCACTGTCAGAAGACAGGATACTGCGCTAGACGGACCTTTGGACTGACCCAGTATGGCTGTTCTTATGTTCTTAAGGTGCCTAGCCCCCAATCCAGAGAAGGAAGCCACCTTGAGGGGAATGCTGGTACCATCAGTGGGGCACAAATCCTAGTCTGGTGAAATGAATCCCAAACTCCACATACTCTGGACCCTCAGAGCGTTTCTCCTCCAAGGGGTACTTTCAGAACCCAAGTACCAGCACATTTTTTGTGTGGTGTCGGGCCAGATTTCACAACAGCTCTGCATTCGGCATACTGAGCACTTCAAAAATCTGTTCCCTTATTTTGATGCCTAAACAGGAGCTAAGCTCCTTACAAAGTCCTGGCCCTAGTTTGGCACATTTATAGGACAATTTGGTGCAGCGTTCAGGCTCCTGGTGACTTGCCAAACCAGTGCTAGGCACTATGTAGTTTGTTCATCTTCTCTGAAGAATGCTTCCTGGATATCAAACTGTGCATGGGCTCTCAGCTTTCCCCCCAGCCCCTCTCACAAACTTGGTATAGAGTTCCACAAGGGGCGGGGAAGTCCCCTAGCTCTAACTTTTCCTAATCAGAGCTCCGTACACTGAAAACCACTATGTAGTTTTGGCCTCTTTATAAAAAATCTCTTCTGGGTGATATAGTTTTCAAATGTGCTATTACTCCACAAGTGAATGCAAACATTTTGTAGCCGTCTTCCCCCAAACCTTGACATGAGCGCTGGGGAACAGGACTGTATAGTTCTCAGAAGGGGAAAGGAGGGGGAAGTAGAAGAAAGAGCAGATCGTGCTGTGCTTTATTACAGATCTTTCATGAATTACAGAGGCCATTTTTCAAGGTCAAGACTAATGCTTTCTAAGACTCATATCCACCACACACAACTTTCCCCTCTTCCTGTGAAATACACACTTATCCCAACATTCTCAAAGCATTGTGCAGATTTAGCTTGGTGACTCCCTTTACTGGCATGGGAAGTTGTTCAGCTAAATCTCCCAGACGCACTTTGAAAAATTTCCTTTGGCTAATGACAGAAAACAAGGGTTTACACTGCAGTTTTGTTTTGCTACAAATTGACTTTTCTTTTTTAGTTAGGTTTTCTTTTAAAAGAGCTTGCAGTACAGCAGACAAGTTACATACTTGTCCATCAGGCAGCACTAATGTTTGACTCACATGCTTCCTTTTTCTCCCTTTATTCCTTCTGAACTCACCTTGCCAAGGCCAGCGATCATTGGCGTATTCTCTGTCCTGAAAGAGAAACATTTGTACAGAAATTATCTATTTCCACCTTCTCCGGGAAATCAATGGGCGCCGAGAGCCCCATTTTTAAAAGGCAGTAGCCCCACTTGCATACACAAGTAATGTGAGCACAACTGCACAGCAACATGTGGGGTAATTACCACAATAAACAACTGTGTGCACAAATGGCCAGTTTGGTGCTTAACTCCCTATTTGTTCACAGCTGTGGTAAGGGAAACTGATATTTTTCAGTTCGTCAAGAGAATCAATGTTTCCTTTTCCTACATGGAAAACTCTACCTCTGGCTGCAAAAATCAGTCACTAGCTTGAAGCTCTCACTGAGATGTCTGCAGATGGCTTTTAGGAATCCAAGAGAACTTCAAAATGGTCTTCTCTTTGTGACTCCAAAGAAATTTGACATGTGGCTTCCACAAAGTCAGTGATACTGTTGGGGACACTGGGGCATGGCCACTAGGTAACTCGAGGGGATGGAAGACCACGAGTGTCGATGAAGCCCCCTTGCACTAGGCCCAAGTGTCCTTGGCCCCCCCTCCCACCTGGAGCACTCGCAGCAGCTCTGCGTACTAGGCCCAAGTGTCCTTGGCCCCCCAGCCTGGAGGCACACACAGCAGTTATGCTGAGAATCTGCAACAATATGTAGCAGAGTCAGACTGCCTGAAACTAAGCAAGGCCAAACAGGGCAGATACGGAAGAACAATTCTGAATAAAGCAGCTTTATGTATGGTTTAAGAAATGATACAGAGAACACGGGAACTAGCTGGGAATTGGATTGGCTGGCTATATGGATACTTGGGGCAGCTTGCTATTGGATAAGTATGCTGGGAAAAAGGATGTATAAAAGCCTGTGTAACTTCCTGCTCTGTGTGCAGGATTTGAGATTTTATTCTCCCTGTACTTTTTTGCAGCTGCAAATAAACTTTTCTGCTTCTCCACCCCGTTGTGATTATTGGGTATAGCACACCGGGTAGCGAACCAACTCCAGCTGTTGTTTAGCCTCTCGGCACTGGGTACCAGCAACAATACTGTATTCAGAATGCATTTAGTCAAGAGCATAACAGACACCAATGTGTCAGCAGCACAGTTCTCCCACACCCACAAGAAATCTTACTGTCCTTTGGACAGTTCTCACAGGAGACACAGGCTGGGAATAAAATGAAATGTATTTGATTTTCAATCTAATTATACCCTAAAACTGGCTGACTGATGAGACTGTTCTTTCCAATGTGGAAAGACTTCCAACCATGTGGACTTTTAGGATACATCTACTGATGCGGTGGCATATAGAGTATAGACACTACATGTCCAGCTAGCACAGGTATAAACTATAATGTAGATGCTGAGGCACAGCTTAGGCAAGTAGAGTGCCCCACACTCCTGAATCCTAGGGTGTATACCTACAAGGCTATCTACATGCCCAAGCAGTGCCTCCCATGTCTACATTGTTATTTTTAGCCATGTAGTGTCCCATTGCCTCCCTGTTGCGGTGAAAGGCTCCAACAACGGGAAAGGCAATGGGGAAGGGCTCTGAGACTTTTGTTTAAGCAGAGAAAGCCATCGGCAGCCCTCCACCAGCACCTTTCCTCTCCACAGTGAAAGGCTCTAGCAGCAGGAAAAGGTTCTGGGAGGGGAGAGGCAGTGGGGAAAGGCTCCGTCAGCTTCCCTTTCATGGCTCTGTGTAGGTACATACCACCCTAAGTGTGGATGCAGCCTGTCTTTCATGGAGGATGTAGCTACATGTACCCGACATTTCGCCCTCTACTGGAAGAGATTAGAATTGCTCAGCTGAGCATCAGGCCCCACACAACTAACAAGTAACAGAGTTTCTCAGCTCAAGTGCAGGATCAGGAGGTTCTGGGTTCTAGCCCCATTGCTGCTGCAAGGCTCTAACTGCGTCGTGGAGTATAGTGATGGAATCCTGGTGGCCTTCAATGCTTACAATTTTGTGTTTAGTATTTATATGACACTTGACATCTTCAGTGCAATTAACACACTAACTCATTTTTTCTCTAAGCATTTTACAACTTGTCACCCCAGAAAGACCAATGGAAGTGAGTACTCCAAAGCTTCTCACAGGGTGCATTCACTAAATAGAAAAGCCATCTGCTTACTTAGCCAGTCCTCTAAATGTACTGACCCATGAAACATCTGCTTACCCATCAGGCCATCCATCTTACCCAGGACGGAAATTCCGCTCCTGTCCCCCTCCAAACAGCATGGGATGCAGAGGAGTGGTGACCCCAGGCCCTCGCACGTACAGTGCTCCAATCCGTGGGGCATAGAACTGCAATGACAAATACCACCTCTAAGAAAGGGAACTCAAGGAAACTTCTTAATTCCCCCTCCCCACTTCACTTTGCACCTCTTGGAGAGGGTTGCTGGATTCTACCTGTTCTGATCCTGATCCTTCTCACTTTCACTTTCCCAACAATTTATAATAATAATTTGCCCTCTGCGAATAATACTCAGCACTTCCCCTATACTGTATTCTTTTCCCATTCCAAGCAATTTACTATCTCTCTCCAGTTAGTCCTCACAACAGCCCTGCACAATCCTAGTCAACTCCCTGCTGTTGCAAACTCCAGTTCCTCCTTCATTGTGGTTCTTTTGCAAACAGGATACCTCTGGAACAAGAATAAAAGCCTTATCCTCCATTTTCATCTTACTGATGGCCTAGGAACCATGGAACCTTCTCAACTTTTGTACCATCTTGCTCCAAGGCTAGTTATGTAGACACAAGTCTGCCATAGGGTTGAGAGTGTTTAACAAAAGTAAAGTAGTGTATAACTGACTGTCCACTGTCCATGTCCTCACATCACTGTATCCACCTGTATGCACACACTGTATATATACACGTACAAAAGACAGCTGGGTACAGTAAAGACTGTCTCCAGAGTGCCATCTAGTGAGAAGCTTTAATATTTAAACAAAAGTCTAATGCACTAAATCCTCCACAGTAGAAAGAGAAACTGGCTGGACTGCCTTATTTCCTCTCTCTCTCTGTGCCACAGGGAGATGAGGATGCTCTGTCTATGTGAGCCATACACAAGTAGATCAACCCAAATCCTGAGTTACTACCTTGACAAGAGAAGAACATTCACCCACATGCCTCGTTTGGAGTCAGAAAAGCAGAGAGCATGCGGACAGCATTTGGATTCCCAAATCCCCTGCCACAATACTGGTTGGGGTAACATGTTTTAGCCCTGATGTAGCCATTGCAGGCATGGTTTTTGTCCTCCAGACTTCTACTAAGAAAGTTGGCTTTTCCTTTCCCTTTTGTAAAAAATTAGAAAACCGCTTTTCATCATCAGCCATTCTTTGGCCAGCCTAAGGCAGAGAATACAAAGCCTCTACTCAGAGGATGCAGCAATTCAGAAGAGAAGGTTCTCATATTGAAAGGCGATTTAAATATATGGACAGCTCCAGTGTGACATGAAGAGAGAAATCCAAGGGGAATAGAGGCATACCTTGTGTCCCACAATGGTGAGGTAATCCACTCCCAGCTCCTGTCCATCCACTCGCCCCTTCCCTATCATCTGGGCCGCGTCTGTGTGCATCAAAATCCTGGGCAGCCCTGATGCCATTCTGTTCTGATTCAGGATCTGAATCCGCTGGCTGAGCTCTGAGATGGGCTGGCGGGAGAGAACACTGTCACAGGTGACAGGTGACTGGGGTCTCAAACTCTTCAGACTGTGTAACACATCTTGTTAGAATGTTTCATGAACACCTCCCCTCCTATTGGAGACTGTCTCCCTTCCTATTCACTATCCTGCAGGCCACCTTCCCTCCATTCACTATCACATAACATCCCCATAAAGAAAGAGCTTGCATGGAAAAGTGACATTGAATACTTTTGTAATAAAAGAATCATAGAAATGTAGGACTGGAAGGATCCTCAAGATGTCATCTAGTCCATCCCCTGGCTGAGGCAGGATTACGTATACCTAAACCATCCCTAACAGGTGTTTGTCTAACCTGAAGTGTAGCCATTTTTAATGACATTTAGCAGCTAATAACTAGGAGGAGACGCCAGTAGCAAGTTACCAGCCAAATCTTTGAAGGCCACCAAAAAATGCTCCAGATACCACAATCTGGGAACCACTGTTTTAGGCTGACAGACAGAGGGGAGCAAAGGAGCAAAGAAGAAGATAGGAATATGAGAAAGGGATGACAAAGAGGGAGAAAAGAAAAGAGAGATAGGGAAAGAGAGACCAGGTCAAAAGACCAGGCAGGAGAAGCACCTCAGTGCACAGAAGATGCCAAAATAACAAATGTTAAACAGAGTATGTAGCACAGATTTAACCCCCCTTCTCTCCAACCCATGATAAATAAAACCCAGGGACCAACTAACCATGATTACCCCAGTCTCGTTATTGGCCAGCATGATGGAAACCAGGCACGTGGTTGGACGGATTGCTGCAATGGTATCATCAACTTCCACTTGTCCAGTCATCTTGGACACTGGGACAAAGGTGGCTTCTGCATGTCAAGACACGAGCAATTAGATTCATCATACAGACTAATACCGCACAGACAACAACAAGAACTTAGAGTATAGTCTAGCAGTTGGAATGATAAAACAGTGGTTGCATATTGCACAGGGAGGGTGGGTGGAATGTCAGAAACTACTCAGGGTCTTTCATATCTTGGGGAAGGAGACATTTGACTAGATATGAGGATTATGCTCCCAGCTTTTAAGCAATGGGTGAAATACACATGCTGTAACACCAGCTAGTGGCCACATGAGGGATGTCCTTGCAGATGTGGTGGCTGCTTGCCTTCCTGACCATACACAGTGAATGCAGGATAGAGAGGACAAACAGAAAAGGTGGGCAAGAGGCCTAGATTATTGAGCTAAAGCCTTCATAGCTGCCATTAAAATTCTACATTTACTGCCCAGGGAAAGCAACATTTGGCCAGGTCAGAGGGTGAGGGGGAGTGCAATGTTCCCTTCACTGAAGGCTGAAGAAAACAGCACAAAACACTGGACTTTTCCATTGTAGTTTAAAAGAAGTGAAAATTCCCTTGGTGCTACCATCGGCACCTCAAACTCTGTGCTCCCTGCAGGACCTTGATCATAATGATCTGACAAAGTAACTCCAGTAACTACGCTGCTTGAGATTGCTTTTGCTAGCACCCCATTCAGAACCTTTCATTTCATGCACTGGGAAAAGTCCAGTGTGCAAGAAAGAACTGAGACTTATATTATTTTGAAACAAAAGCTGCTGTGAAAAGCAGCTCAACAGAGGACCTGTAGGTGGGGAGTATATATCAATGACACTCCCTTGCAATCCCCATGTACTCACCTGCCATGTGCTCTTTCACAAGGTGTTCCAATGGCAAACGGACTGAGTCATGTTCCACATTAGATGCAATGAAATGAGGAGTGGCCCCGGCTGCTCTTTTGTGATCCTCACCAGGCCCATCCTGTCCCAGCATCTGACTCTCTCTAAAATGCCTCAGTGCCGTGTGGATAACTAAATTATTTGCCTGCAGAGAGGTAAGAGGGAAACCGCCAGAGGAGGGTATAACCAAGGGCAGTGGGTAGGGCACAGAATCCCTTACTTTCAATTTCTCACGAAGCTGTATGCAAGTCAGAGCTTAAAATACTTTTGGTGAAAACATAATCATTAGGGCAGACTGAAAATGTCAATGGGAAATGAACTCCTCTAACAGATCCTTTAACCAAGGGCGTTAGGCCATCTTCAGATTGTGAGAGGAGGGGTCATTTGTGCTCATTATCTCTGGGTAACAGTTTTCACTCCAGGCTCTCATTTCAAAACACATCCATTTACAAGTTATAAATAAGGGAAAAGGTCATGCTATAAAGCCAGTATACAGTTTCTGTCAGTTTAACAGGTTCGTGGTTATATCTTCATAGAGAATTGGAACTTACCACACAGAGGAGGAAAAAGACTGCATTGTTGTGTCTTTCAAATAAAAAACAGACTAAAGGGGGAGTATTGCATCCAGTTTTGGGCCCCCCACTACAGAAAGGATGTGGACAAATTGGAGAGAGTCTAGCGGAGGGCAATGAAAATGATTAGGGGGCTGGGGCACATGACTTATGAGGAGAGGCTGAGAGAACTGGGCATATTTAGTCTGCAGAAAAGAAGAGTGAGGGGGGATTTGATAGCACCCTTCAACTGCCTGAAGGGGGGTTTCAAAGAGGATGGAGCTCGGCTGTTCTCAGTGGTGGCAGATGACAGAATAAGGAGCAATGGTCTCAAGTTGCAGTGGGGGAGGTCTAGGCTGGATATTAGGAAAAACTATTTAATTAGGAAGGTGGTGAAGCACTGGAACAGGTTACCTAGGGAGGTGGTGGAATCTCCATCCTTAGAGGTTTTTAAGGCCCAGCTTGACAAAGCCCTGGCTGGGATGATTTAGCTGGTGTTGGTCCTGCTTTGAGCAGGGGGTTGGACTAGATGACCTCCTGAGGTCTCTTCCAACCCTAATCTTCTATGAGTCTATGTTTGTTATTGTTTTGGGGCTTGTCTATGCAGTGGGGTAATGCACTCTATTGAGGGGCAGGATTTCTCAAGTGCACTAATGTGTTATGCATTACATAAGAATGGCCATACTGGGTCAGACCAAAGGTCCATCTAGCCCAGTATCCTGTCTTCTGACTGCCACATGCCCCAGAGGATCAAGTGATCCATCATCCGTCGCCCATTCCCAGCTTCTGGCAAACAGAGGCTAGGGTCACCAGCTCTGCCCATCCTGGCTAATTGCCATTGATAGACCTATCCTCCATGAGTATATCTTGTTCTTTTTTGAACCCTGTTATAGTCTTGGCCTTCACAACATCCTCTGGCAAGGAGTTCCACAGGTTGACTGTGCACTGTGTGAAAAAATACTTCCTTTTGTTTGTTTTAAACCTTCTGCCCCTTAATTTCATTTGGTGGCTCCTAGTTCTTGTGTTATGAGAAGGCATAAATAACTCTTCCTTATTTACTTGCTCCACACCAGTCATTATTTTATAGACCTCTATCATATCCCCCCTTAGTCGTCTCTTTTCCAAGCTGAAAAGTCCCAGTCTTATTCCTCCTACGGAAGCTGTTCCATACGCCTAATAATTTTTGTTGCCCTTTTCTGAACCTTTTCCAATTCCAATATATCTTTTTTGAGATGGGGTCACCACATCTGCACGCAGTATTCAAGATGTGGGAGTACCATGGATTTACAGAGACAATATGATATTTTCTGTCTTATTATCTATCCCTTTCTTAATGATTCCCAACATTCTGTTTGCTTTTTTGACTGCACACTGAGTGGATGTTTTCAGAGAACTATCCACAATGACTCCAAGATCTCTTTCTTGAGTGGTAACAGCTAATTTAGACCCCCATCATATTTACATGCATAGTTGGCATTAATCGGTCTTTGTAAAAGCACGCAGTGCTGTTTGAAACAGTACGATGTTAAAGTGTACCATGGAACCATTATTGTGCACCAGCAATTTCTACATGGATCAACTAATGAGCACCATTTTAGTGCACTTAAGTATGCCACTCTCCCCCCAGCCCTGCAGAGTGCATCACCGCATGTAAGAGGAGCCATTACTGTCTGTTCTCTCAAACGCCACAATATAAGCACTCATCCTGTTCGGAAAGGCTGGGGCTAAGATTTATACGCTCACCTCCGTGCCCCCTGAGGTGAAAATGATGTCCTGGGGCCTTCCTCCCACCATCTGGGCTAGGCTCTCCCGAGCTTCATTTATGATCTCCTTGGCCTTTCTACCTGCGGGATCCATGTACACAGTTGATCAAGTTGTTTTTATTACATATTTACAGTAGAAAACTGTTAGAAAGGATGCAACACTGGATGTTTATTCTTGTACTAGAAGTTCATTTAAAAGGGATTTAATGTATTTCCACAGATGTTTGATTGAATGTATGAGGTGGATTCTTATCCACATTTATTTGATTTTCTCTCTGTGAGATTAAAAGATCAAGGAGAGGTAATAGAGTGTTTAGAAGAGAGTGTCCTTGGGTGACAGTGATAGTAAACAAAAATCACTTTCATACAGATGACATCACAAACACAGGAAATCCCCATCATTTGCAGTTAGAAGCTGCACTCAGCAAAAAAGGATTGTCTCCTTAAATTTCATGTACTTCTTTCTAAAGACATATTTCTTTCATATGTGCACTGTCCATATATCAATCATGGGACTTATGAGGAAGCTCTTCCCCTCCATGTAAGTTCAGTGCAGTTGCTCAGTACCTGAAAATATAAACAAACTAAAAATAAATCACAGTTCAAACAGAATCAGTTAGCAGACAGGAGCAGGGAGAGAAAAGACAAAGGAGGTATCTAGAATGTTTCAGAGTCAGAGCGAGCTAGCACAGTAGGTGAACTTGTTTCCCTGGAACTCTTTTTGAACGTTGGTTTGTTTTTTTTAAATTGACATTTAAATGTCCTTCTGAACTTTATGTTTCTCACTAAGGGGTGTCCTAACAGCACCTACACTGAACAACCAAGCAGAGGCTGTAACTCTCTGATCTCCAATCTGAAAGAATAAGAAAGTTTTCTTTTATTTAGAAGTTTATTTTTATTAATTTCACTGGGTCATGAACTCTGTAGCTAGGGGCCAAGATTTTCAAAAGTGGATGCCTAAAGTTTAGACTCTGAAGTCCATATTAAGGCACCTAAATAAGTGGCCTGACTTTTAATAGTGCTGAGCACCAATGAGACTTGCTGGAAGCACTGTTCTTTCTTTGTTTTTTGAGAGTCAGGATGTTTATTTAGATAACCAAATATAGATTTAGGAGCCTATCTTTAGGCACCCATTTTTGAAAATCCTGGACTCTTGAGGTGAGCTTTTTTTTTTATGACCCTTTTTTCTACTGTTCATGAACACTGTCAAAAACTTTAATTTTTGTATGAAAGTCATCATGCTTGGTCTCAGTTCAAGGTGAAATTCTCTTTAGAGTGATTGAATTCAATCAGCTCTGCCATTTTTGAGTTACAGGAGTGGGTTAAATTACACTGCACCAGCTTTTTAAAAAGTGTGCAGCCTTTATTACTGTTAGGATATAGATATTCAGGCCTGTCTGTAAAGGCCTATACTCTAAGAATTTAGGTGTATTCTTATCACTTGGCTAGTGATAGAGGTATAAAAGAAAGAATCAAAACCGCTGTCTGCCAGTGTAAGGGCCTTCTCTTACTGTGACAGTTTGTGGCCTGTGCTTAGGCTCAGGCCTTTGGCTAAGCAGCAGAGGCAGCCATAAGCTGGGAAGCGAACGGTCACATCCTCACATTCCAAACTAGTCACATTGAAATAAGGTGCTATTGGGCTGTTAGGCACTATCAGGCCAGAGAAAGGGAAGCGCCTAGAAAATGTAAAAGGAAACTTAGTTTGATAGCATCCTGTCTGGCAAGAACTCACTTATCAATAGCTGGGATGTGAAATCCTCACTTCTGTATTGTTTTGTCATTATAGTTCCCACTTTGCTGTTGTTTGTCTGTATAATCTCTGTCTGGTTCTGTGATTGTTCCTGTCTGCTGTATAATTAATTTTGCTGGGTGTAAACTAGTTGAGGTGGTGGGATATAATTGGTTACATAATCATGTTACAATATGTTAGGATTGGTTAGTTAAATTTCAGGAAAATGATTGGTTAACGTATAGCTAAGCAGAACTCAAGTTTTACTATATAATCTGTAGTCAATGAGGAAGTGAGTGGGCGTGGGTGGGAGGGGGTGGGCATGTGGGTGTGTGAGATGGGAACAGGGAATGGGGGTAAGAAAATTGGAATCATGTTTTGCTAAAGGGGGAGATGGGAACAGGGAATGGGGGTAAGAAAATTGGAATCATGTTTTGCTAAAGGGGGAAATGGGAACAGGGAATGGGAGTAAGGAAGTTGGAATCATGTTTGGCTAAGGGTAGGAATGGGAACAGGGACACAGGTGTAAGGCTCTGTGGTGTCAGAGCTGGGAAGGAGGATACTAAGGAAGGAAACTGGAATCATGCTTGCTGGAAGTTCACCCCAATAAACATCGAATTGTTTGCACCTTTGGACTTCGGGTATTGTTGCTCTCTGTTCATGCGAGAAGGACCAGGGAAGTAAGTGGGTGAAGGAATAAGCCCCCTAACATCTTGGTGCCGGTGACTCGGATGCATCGCATTGGATAGGTGAGTGGCAGCCTGTAAGTCCCCCTCCCCAACAGTCCGCGCAGCTGCTTGGAGGGGGTATCGCGAACTCTCGTGATGGTAGTTGCGGGTTCTGGCAAGCCAGGGTAAAGGATTTTTTGGATAAATGGATAAGGGAGGACCAGGGCCCATACCAGGTACAGGGGTCAACCTGGGATAAGATTAAAAAGGAAATGGAGGAAGTGTTAGGGGACCCAGAGGTATGGGGGGTGGCTGAGGAGCCCACCCTCCTTGGTTTATGGGTAGGGGAAGAAGGTCCCTGCCCATGGGGACTGAATGCCTCCCAGGGAAAAGAGGCACTTCAGTCTGCTTGAGAGGTTTGAAGTAAGGGCAGCATTATGGGAAGCTGCCAGTAATCTTTCAAGTTTGGTGCTGCTTCAGCAAGGGCTGCTGAAGGGTTGTAAATTAGTTAGGGGTAGTGAAAGATGATTTGGCACAAAAGGGTTTAAGGTCAAAAGCAGAGTTAACAGACCACCTTTAGAGACTGGATCTGAGACTTGGTCCTGGGGGAGTAGAGGAAAAAAAAAATAAAAGTTTCAAAGTGCAACCTGCCTTTCCACACTCTTTTGTTTTTCTGAAGTTTTAATGGAGGGTACTTTGGATACTTATGTGAGATGTCAAGAAGGAAGTTTTTGTTTAATGATAAAACCCAGTTATATAAATGTAACTGTATGTGCAACTCTGTGCAGTCACATTGGATGGAAGCTTGGTAATTAAATTATCCAAGGGGGTCAGGTAGAGTGGCTACTACCACCACTACGCTTCTGTCCCCAGAAGCCTTTATAGCTATTCTGAGGGAAAATGGGCCCTTTTCCCACAGAAATGGTCTATAAGGGACTGCTGCAGGCAGCAGGCAGAGAGAATCTGAGCAAAATTATTTGACTATTGGGTAATGTAATCAAAATCACTAAAGGATGGAAGAGGTTTCTTTTGGAACTTAACTTGGCTGCCCCTAGTTGTGTCTAGTTGTACAAGATGGAAGTGTAATCGGGGTACAGTTGTGTAAAAAAGAGTAATCACAGTGCAAGGGATGTTAGGCAAAACAGAATTTTGTGTGTGTGCGCACAGGTAAAAGAAAAGGAAAAGGGGAGGAATGATGGGAACACTGAGCCTTGGGATGGCTCTGGGGGATTAGATTGTTGCTTTGGTGGGTTCTGCATGAAAACTCTGTAGGCATGGGGGAGGCAGTTATACCTTGTGTAAAATTAATTTGGCTAATATGATGTTATGGAGGTTAAACTATATGGAAGGAATTTGCATTTTCCCAGGACATGTGCAGTGTATATTGGAAAAGGAGTAAAAGAAATGCAAATAAAACATGGTACTTCATTAAAATCCTAATAGGGCTCCAAAAGGAGCCACAATAGGTTGTGCTTTCTTTTTCAGATCGCTGTGTTTTGGAGCAGGAGATGAAAGTGGAAAGTAATCAGAACTCTGGTGGAAGTAAAATGCTTCCCTTTTAAGACAGTGTCTGAGCTGCTAACAGCTTTGGATCCAGAAGCAAGCTAGTAATCCTCTGTGTGTAAATGCAAATTACCTAGCTGATGGGCACAAAGGAGCTGCAAATAACAAATACATCTGGTCAGCAAACAAGCTACTAGAAGACTCAGATTATGGCCCTTCAGGAAAGGGAGGTGAAAAAAACAAGTCAAGCCTGAAAATAAGGGGGACAGGTTAACCTTAAGGGGTGTGTGTGTGTGTGTGTGTGTACAGTGCTAAAATCTGAAGGTGTGTCTCAGCTATTACCTGAGAATAAACTTAAAGCTTGGTACAGCAGGGAAACTATTGCAAACTTGGTCTGTTGTACAAGAGGGGAAACTGAGGTACACCATCTCATGAATTTCATAAATGACCAGTGAGTGGGGTAATTCACTAGCCTGACTATAGAACAAAATAAGGACAGTTGGAGGTAATTCTTCTGTTTTTCCTGCAAGTAGCAAGGACATTTGTAAAAGAAAGTGGTATTATTATTAAGCAATAATCTGTCCCCACCAGGGGGGTGGAAATTGTTTCTTTTGTTTTTCAGACACTCTACAAGCAAGCTGGCGCCAGCGGGAAAAATAACCCAGAATACCATGGATCTATGTTTTGTGTTGTTTGTCTGTGGTGTTTGTCTTGTTGCTAGCATTGTTGTGTTTTAATGAACAGAAAACCTCACGATGTGGGTGGGGGATGGCTTCAAAAGGCTGACTTTGGGGGGGAAGATGTGTATGGGAATGCAAAATGCTCAACTAGGAGGCCAGCATCTGTGTAATAGCTACCGTGGTATCTGGAAATGGAATGGCAACTAAGGTGGCCCCCACAAGCCCTATGGAAATAATGAGAAGGGGAGGAGCTCACTGGGAATCAATGGAGGGGTGTGTAAAATAGTGTAAATTAATAGAAGATGTTTGGATGTGCCCCTCTCCTATGACTATAGAGGAGCGGGATCAATGGCCTATGCAAGGGGTGGACAATTGGATGTACTATGTATAAGGTGTTTTGCTGGGAATGTACATATTACTGGGGGCACAATTACACCAGCCCATAACCAAACTACACCCATCTACATGCTGCTATATGGACTTTGGTGCACAAATGGATCTGTGAATCTTATTGCTGTGAATAAGCCAAGGCTTACTGCCTGATTCCATACCAAGTGGTCAAGCTGGTTTGGACAATATCCCATTTCTCTGTGAACATTCAATGGACTTGTGATATGGACAAAAGCATACAAAACTTGAAGGAGCAGCTTGTTGCAACTGCCAGCAACTGGACACAAGATCGTGACCCCGTCGAAGGAGGAGAGGAAGTGTTCTGGGGGTGTCTTGGATGTTGGACCATACTGCAGTGGTCAGGACTCGGTGTTGCTGTGGATTTTGTATTGTTAACTGTACTTGTGTTACGTTGCATAGGGAGATAACCTATTAGGAATGTAATAAGCCCTCCAAACCCTGCAGTGTACTAGACAACCCGGACCCAACCTTCTCAGGCCCACTCTAATGGGAAGTCTGGAACACTAATTGGAATAGGTGTGGTATGCCCGTATGAGAGAAGGTGCAGGGCACAATACTACACAAGGGGCAGTGGGACAAATGGAATATCGACACCTTCCACCTTGATGCCTGGCCCTACCAGGAAATGTGTCGCCATATGTCCTATGCTTTTCCAGGGATACCTGGGCAGGAGGATCCCAAAAGAAAAAGAAAAAAAAAGGGGTGGAGTGTTAGGATATAGATATTCAGGCCTGTCTGTAAAGGCCTATACTCTAAGAATTTAGGTGTATTCTTATCACTTGGCTAGTGATAGAGGTATAAAAGAAAGAATCAAAACCGCTGTCTGCCAGTGTAAGGGCCTTCTCTTACTGTGACAGTTTGTGGCCTGTGCTTAGGCTAAGGCCTTTGGCTAAGCAGCAGAGGCAGCCATAAGCTGGGAAGCGAACGGTCACATCCTCACATTCCAAACTAGTCACATTGAAATAAGGTGCTATTGGGCTGTTAGGCACTATCAGGCCAGAGAAAGGGAAGCGCCTAGAAAATGTAAAAGGAAACTTAGTTTGATAGCATCCTGTCTGGCAAGAACTCACTTATCAATAGCTGGGATGTGAAATCCTCACTTCTGTATTGTTTTGTCATTATAGTTCCCACTTTGCTGTTGTTTGTCTGTATAATCTCTGTCTGGTTCTGTGATTGTTCCTGTCTGCTGTATAATTAATTTTGCTGGGTGTAAACTAATTGAGGTGGTGGGATATAATTGGTTACATAATCATGTTACAATATGTTAGGATTGGTTAGTTAAATTTCAGGAAAATGATTGGTTAACGTATAGCTAAGCAGAACTCAAGTTTTACTATATAATCTGTAGTCAATGAGGAAGTGAGTGGGCGTGGGTGGGAGGGGGTGGGCATGTGGGTGTGTGAGATGGGAACAGGGAATGGAGGTAAGAAAATTGGAATCATGTTTTGCTAAAGGGGGAGATGGGAACAGGGAATGGGGGTAAGAAAATTGGAATCATGTTTTGCTAAAGGGGGAAATGGGAACAGGGAATGGGAGTAAGGAAGTTGGAATCATGTTTGGCTAAGGGTAGGAATGGGAACAGGGACACAGGTGTAAGGCTCTGTGGTATCAGAGCTGGGAAGGAGGATACTAAGGAAGGAAACTGGAATCATGCTTGCTGGAAGTTCACCCCAATAAACATCGAATTGTTTGCACCTTTGGACTTCGGGTATTGTTGCTCTCTGTTCATGCGAGAAGGACCAGGGAAGTAAGTGGGTGAAGGAATAAGCCCCCTAACAATTACTAATTATTAGTATGATTATTTATTTGCATTGCATTAGCATCTAGGGTTTCCGTTGTGCTAGGCAGTTCCCACCCTGAAAAGCTTACATTCTAAGTTTTTGTTGGCAAATAACTAAAAAATGGCAGAACATTTACATTTGGCATGGCTCCAATTAGAGCTGGTCAGAAACTTTTCAACAAAAGACTTTTTTGTCAGAAAATGCTGATTTATCAAAACTGAAACCTGTCGTGGAAGCATATCAATTGTGACAGGAAGGTTTCTCAGGTCCAGGATGGAATTTCTGATGAAAGCAAGAGAGAGAGAGACCAACCCACCCCAGACAGCCAATACCCTGGTGTTTAGGGCACTCATCAGGGTTGTGGCAGACCCAATGTCAAATCCCTGCTTTTCACTATTCTTGCTACTCTTTATCTATTTCCCCCCCCGGCCCCACAAAAAATTTAGAACAGTCTTGGTTTCATTCTGCACTTGAATGGAAGCAAATATTGAAACTTTCAAATTTTTCACAAAATGGAATTCTTGTCTTCCAGACATCCCTAGCTGTAAGCTTTAGTGTAGCATGTGCCACTAGCCATATGTAGACATAAATCTTACATATGATACAATGTATAAAGCATTAAAATTCATGTCTGCATATGCTCAGCTTTGTAACTATAAATTTTCTACAATAATAGGCTTTAATCCTGCAAACATTTGCACACGAGTAGTCTCAAAGAGGTTTCCAGCTAGTGGAATCTTCTATTCATAATGATCAGGACTGCCTGTGAACCCAACTCCCCCTCTCCTTCCTGAGATCACCTCTTTCCCTTCCTTCAAAAGCTGCTCTTACCTGCTGTGTAAGAACTGCTGGGATTGCCCCAGGCCTCATGCATGGCCTTTGTTACAGTTTGGATCACTTCTGGTGCCATTGGGGTGGTTGCATTGTAATCCATGTAAACCTTGCTGTAGGTAAGGAAGCAAAGAGAGAGAGAAAGTTAGAACAGGAGAGGAGAAGAGAGTCAGCTTTCAGCAGGATCCCCAAACGATGAACGTTACGGCTCCATCAGAGAGAACACGTCTTTTTTACCTAAAATAGTGCTTTAACCAAGTTTCATTTGAAGCAAGCATTACCCTCCTCCTCTCTCATATAAGATCATAGCACTAGAGCAGAATGACCACCCCCCCTCCAAAAAAAACTGAGAGATCCCAGCCCTGACCATCACCATGTCAGAAGAGATCACAACTGGATCTTAAGTCAGACATTTTGACCTGAGTCTTAATCATGACCTGCACGAATATCTAGGCCTAAAACCTGTTACTGTTCTTATGAATTTTAAGCATAGATTTCCCAGTAACTCAGAAAAAATTCAACCTTCTACTTTTTTATAAAAATGCTCTCACTCTCCCCTCCCCCTCCACAACTCAGGAAAAATAGAGAAGCCACTCACTCACCTTTCCACTGACTTATTTTCTTCCCCATCACACTTCTTATCCACAGCAGTTTTTCTCCCATCTTTTGTTAGCACCATTTTTTCCACTTGATTCCCCTCCATTCTGCAAAAATCTACATACAAGATCAGTAGGAACAGTAAAAGTTTAAGCTTGACAAACACACACACACACACACGAGTCTCCTGATCATATTATGATTTCTACATAAAACACAAGTGTCTATAGTTTGTCTCATTCTTCCCTAAACATTTTGTAGTTTCTATGCAAACTTATCGTAATCACAGAATTCTTGATGAGATGCTGAAATGCTGACTCTCTCTAGTAACCTAGTAAACATATCTCTACAGTAACATTTCTGCATATTATTTATGCCTCTCCTTTCCAGTGAAGTTTTAATAAAAGGGTTCAGAGGTTTGTTTATACTTGGCACATGATGTGTATTTTCAGGAATGCTCTAGTAGAAAGGACTGGGGAGGTTTTTATCAGGAACCCTCTCTCCTCCCTCTCATTCTACATCTCTCCTATACCATCTGTGAAAATATCCTCACCTTTCTAAAGTGGTTCTGATTCTTTTCCACAATTCTTTGAGACCTTCTATTGAACTCTGCGATCCACTGATCCTTCACTCTGTAGCAGCCTTGTCTGTGGTGTGGGGTAGTGCAATACCTACGCACCAGAGTTTAACCAAAATAAAGATGTCTATTCATTCTATACAGAAGGCTAAACTATATTTTTAAGGATTGTCTGTAAGCCAAGTCTGCACATCAAGGGCCATACACTGCTCTCAGTCTACAGCAGAGTTCCCACCAGTAACAACTGGAAGCTTGTACCAAGATCAATATGGGTCTTATGTACCTCAGATTTTAGTTAGTAAAGTTACTGTTTCATTCAGCATCACTCAGTAGGAAAACACGACAGCAGTGACCCTAAAAGTACCTGGTATACCTGTCCTTCATTTATCAGGCTACTTACTTGTCTACAATTTCTTGATGCATGCTGTCATAAATATAAAGGGAAGAGTAAACACCTTTAAAATCCCTCCTGGCCAGAGGAAAAACCCTTTCACCTGTAAAGGGTTAAGAAGCTAGGATAACCTCGCTGGCACCTGATCACAATGACCAATGAGGAGACAAGATACTTTCAAAAGCTGGGGGAAGGGAGAAACAAAGGGTCTCGGTCTGTCTGGGTGATGCTTTTGCCAGGGACAGAACAGGAATAGAGTCTTAGAACTTAGTAAGTAATCTAGCTAGATATGCATTAGATTATGTTTGTTTAAATGGGTGAGAAAATACGCTGTGCTGAAAGGAATGGATAATCCTGTCTTAGTGTCTTTTTGTAACATAAGGTTTTGCCTAGAGGGATTCTCTATGTTTTGAATCTAATTACCCTGTAAGGTATTTACCATCCTGATTTTACAGAGGTGATTCTTTTTACTTCTATTAAAATTCTTCTTTTCAGAAACTGAATGCTTTTTCATTGTTCTTAAGATCCAAGAGTTTGGTGAGGATTTTTACCAAACCTTCCCCAGGAAGTGGGGTGCAACGGTTGGGAGGATTTTGGGGGGAAAAGATGTTTCCAAACTACTCTTTCCCAGTAACTGGTTAAACGTTTGGTGGTGGCAGCGAAAGTCCAAGGGCAAAGGGTAAAATAGTTTGTACCTTGGGGAAGTTTTAACCTAAGCTGGTAAAAGTAAGCTTAGGAGGTTTTCATGCAGGTACCCACATCTGTACCCTAGAGTTCAGAGTGGGGAAGGAACCTTGACACATATAATTGCAGTAATTGTGTAAATTAAGCATGCAATTGCACACCTACACTGTTTTAATATCTGGCTGTTAAAAGGGTCATAATCAGTCTTAAGAGTTAAAATGCCACTGAGTTGACTGGAACAGTTCACACCTCTCAAAGCCTTGTTTCAGGCTTTCTGCAGATTCCAAGATCACTTTGAGAACCGTTACACTTGCTTCACGTTTGGCAAATTCTATTCATAACCATAAGAACCAGAAGTTTTTATTTAAAACATGAAAGCTTCCTTTCTGTAGAATCTGAATCTGTCCCAAGACCAGTTAAACACTTCAAGGGCCAAATCTGAATGAGATATCAGAGAATGAGTGATCCTGGCTTTTTTAAATAGGAGAATAGTCTGGCTACCATAATATCATGTGGATACTAAGTTGTACTTGGATATAAAAAAGAGGAATGGCAGTATTAAGACAGGAAGTGATTAAAGCAAAATGAGTGAGGATATGAATATTCACTAAGGATACAGTTAAGAGTACCAAATACTTTCACTTGTCATCTAAGACTATATATAAAATCTTCACTGAGGGTTCTGGGCTGGGGGTGCAGGTTCGGGGGTGCAGGAGGGAGTATGGGCTCTGAGCTCAAGGTGCGGGATCTGGGGTGGGGTCGGGGATGAGGGGTTTGGAGTGCAGGAGGGGGCTCTGGGTTGGGGGGGAAGGGTTAGGGCTGGAGCTTACTTTGGGCGGCTCCCTGTCAGCGGAGCAGCAGGGATAAGGCAGGCTAGTTTAAGATTAAACTCGATAAGTTTATGGAGGAGATGGTATGATGGGATAACATGGTTTTGGTAATTAAATATTCATGGTAAATAGGCCCAATGGCCTGTGATGGGTTTTTAGATGGGGTAAGATCCAAGTTACCCGGGAAAGAATTTTCTGTAGTATCTGGCTGATGAATCTTGCCCATATGCTCAGGGTTTAGCTGATCGCCATATTTGGGGTCGGGAAGGAATTTTCCTCCAGGGCAGATTGGAAGGCCCTGGAGGTTTTTCGCCTTCCTCTGTAGCATGGGGCACGGGTCACTTGCTGGAGGATTCTCTGCTCCTTGAGGTCTTCAAACTACAATTTGAGGACTTCAGTAGCACAGATATAGGTGTGAGGTCTTTTTTAGGAGTGGTGGGTGAAATTCTGTGGCCTGCATTGTGCAGGAGGTCAGACTAGATGATCATAATGGTCCCTTCTGGCCTAAATATCTATGAATCTAGTCCCTGTCTGTCCTGGCTCCATGCTGCACCCCGGAAGTGTCCAGCAGGCCCAGTGCCTAGGCGGGGAAGGGCAGGAGGCTCCATGGCACGCACTGCTCTTGTTCGCAGGCACCGCCCCAGCAGCTCCCATTGGCTGGTCCCTGGTTTCCAATGGGAGCGCAGAGCTGGTGCTTGGGGCAGGAGCAGCGCGTGGAGCCCCATGACCCGCCTGCCTAGAAGCTGGGCCTGCTGACCACTTCTGGGGCGCAGAGAAGTGCCCCAGGACAGGTAGGGACTAGCCTGCCTTAGCGTCGCAGCATCGCTGACAGGACTTTTAACAGCCTAGTCGGCGGTGCTGATCAGAGCCGCCAGGGTCCCTTTTCGACTGGGTGTTCCGGTCGAAAACTGGACAGCTGGTCACCCTAGTCCTGACCCAAAAAGAAGCTGGGGAGGGGTGAGTCGCAAGGTTATTGTAGGGGAATTGTGGTACTGCTACCCTTACTTCTGTGCTGCTGCTGCTGGTGGTGGCAGCGCTGTCTTCAGAGCTGGGCAGCTGGAGAGCAGTGGCTGCTCACAGTTTTAATTGCACTGTTAAACAATAATACAACACCAATTTAAATGTATTATAAATATTTGTGTATGTTTCTACATTTTCAAATATACTGCTTTCAATTACAAAGTGCTCACGTTATATTATTTTTATTATAGATATTTGCACTGTAAAAAAGATAAACAAAAGAAACAGTATTTTTCAATTTACCTGATACAAGTATGATAGTGAAATCTCTTTATTGTAAAATGCAACTTACAAATGTAGGTTTTGTTTGTTTTAACATAACTGCACTCAAAAACAAAACATTGGAAAACTTTAGCGCCTACAAGTCCAGTCAGTCTATTTCTTGTTCAGCCAATCGCTAAGACAAACAAGTTTATATCCATTTACAGGAGATAACGCTGCCTGCTTCTGATTTACAATGTCATCTGAAAATGAGAACAGTTCGCATGGCACTTTTGTAGCTGGGGTTACAAGGTATTTACGTGCCAGATGTGTTAAACATTAGTATGCCCCACAGTTCAGGGAGATTACTGATGAACCTGGGAAGCTGAATAGCACATACCGCCTCCTCAGCTGCCCCGGAACCTGCATGGGGCATAATAAATCAAAAACTTCCCTCCAAAACCCTGCAACAGAGGGTCCGGTGGCCCCGGCAGCACCACAGGAGGCTGAGCCTCCCCCGGCCTATTATACTCTCTGCCCATGCCCCTTCATGCTTCAACCACCATTCCAGAGGACATGATTCCATGCTGATGACAGGTTCTGCTCAATAACAAACCAAAGCAGTGTGGATTTATGCACCTTCATTTTCATCATCTGAGTCACCAACAGAAGGTTGATTTTCTTTTTTGATGATCCGGGTTCTAGTGTTGCTCTTTTAAGACTTCTGACATTATATTCCACACCTCATCTTTCTCAGATTTTGGAAGGCACTTCAGATTCTTAAACCTTAATACTATTTCTTTTATCTTTTTTACAGTGCAAATATTTATAATAAAAAATAATAGTATAAAGATCACTGTACACTTTGTATCCTGTGTTGTAATTAAAATCAATATATTTGAAAATGTAGAAAAACATCCAAAATATTTATAATAAACTTAAATTGGTATTCTATTATTAACAGTGCAATTAAAAGTGCGATTAATTGTAACTATTTTTTTAATCTTGCAATTAATTGTGATTTTTTTTTAGTCATTTGACAGTCCTGATGAGAAAAAAATTCTCTGATTGATCACGTTAAATAGGAACAGTGAGCCATACTAAACATATTAAAAGAGAAAATACTTTGAAAGTGGCAATTTTAAACCCCTGAGTGGCATCTTATTCTTCCGTTGGAGAAAATGAACAGCTGTTTTAATTATTTGCTAAATCAGTAGTTGCTTCTCTTTTACTGGCTTTTATCATTAATTGATTAAACCATATCCACAGTAGAGAGACTAAAGCTTCCCTTATCTAAGCATGAAGACAGCAGCGGTCTTGTCTCCAATACTGACAGAGAATCTTCTATGGCATTTCTCAGATTTTACATTTTATCTCATTTTCACCTTCCTTTATCAACATTTATGGTTCTATCTGTAATTAGACTGCAGACAGTGTGCCAGCTAAGATTTAGCAAATTAAAGTAGTTTTAAAAGATTCTTATTTCTCTGTGAAATGTAGACCAAGGCCTTTTGAATTAAACACCTAGAACATTTTACAGACACACAAAGGAAAAGAAAAAACTACAGCCACCAAACAAGTGGTGATAGTGATAGTGTTTGTTTAATGTTTTACCTGCTAGACTCATGTAATTAGTGCTTCTGCGTCTTGTACTTTATACCTTCAGAAGTGGTCATTTTAATTGTCTTTATTAATTCCAAACTCATCCCATCCTTCTGTAAACATTCCTAGTTATTGCATCAGATATACAGTAGAACCTCAGAATTACGAACACCTCAGGAATGAAGGTTGTTCGTAAAGCTGAAATATTTGTAACTCTGAACAAAACATTACAGTTCTTTCAAAAGTTTACAACTGAACATTGACTTAACACAGCTTTGAAACTTTACTATGCAGAAGAAAAATGCTGCTTTTAACCATCTTAATTTAAATGAAACAAGCACAGAAACAGTTTCCTTACCTTGCCAAATCAAATTTTTCAAAACTTTCCCTTTATTTTTTTAGTAGTTTACATTTAACACAGTACTATACTGTATTTGCTTCCACCTCTCCCCCTGTTGCCTGATTGTGTACTTTTGGTATCAAATGGGACGTATGGTTGACTGGTCAGTTCATAATTCTGAGGCTCTATTACAGGGGCAGGCAAACTTTTTCGCCTGAAGGCCGCATTGGGTTTCTGAAATTGTATAGAGGGCTGGTTAGGGGAGGCTGTGCCTCCCCAACCAGCCAGGGCCCGACCCCCCCGGCTTCTCACCCCCAATGGCCCCCCCCGGGACTCCTGCCCCATCCAACCTCCCCTGCTCTCGGTCCCCTGACCGCCCCCAGACCCTCTGCCCCTAACTGCCCCCCTGCCACCCCATCCAACCCCCCCTCCTTCCTGACTGCCCCCCCGGGACCCCTGCCCCATCCATCCACCCCTTCTCCCTGACTGCCCCCAGACCCCTTGTCCCTAACTGCTCCCACCACCCCATCCAACCCCTCCTCTCCTTCCTGACTGCCCCCCTGGGACTCTTGCCCCATCCATCCACTCCTTCTCCCTGACTGCCCCCAGACCCCTTGTCTCTAACGACCCCTTGTCCCTAACTGCCCCCCCACCCCATCCAACCCCTCCTCTCCTTCCTGACTGCCCCCCCGGGACCCCTGCCCCCTTTCAACCCCTCCATTCCCCACCCTCTGACTGCCCCAACCCATATGCACTCCCCTGCCCTCTATCCAACCCCCTCCCCTGCTGCTCCCTGACCATGCTGCCTAGAGCACCAGTGGCTGGCAGCACGGCTGCACCAGGACAGGCAGCCGCGTGGCACAGAGCACCGGGTCAGGCCAGGCTCTGCAGCTGCACTGCCCAGAGCATTGCGCCGCATGGCGGCATGGTTACAGGGGTGGTGGACAGCCTCCCAGGCCAGGAGTTCAGGGGCTGGGCAGGACAGGCCCACAGGCCGGATGTAGCCCATGGGCCGTAGTTTGCCCACCTCTGCTCTACTGTTTCATCCAGCTGGACCAGGCTGCAATGGTCAGCAAATGCCTGGCTTGAGAGTATGAGGAAGGCCTTTGAAATACCAGCAACAGAAAAAAGAGCCCTGATACCAAACACCACTATTACTGCTGCAATGAGCCATATGGCTACCAGTGAGCCATATGGCTGCCCTCAGATTGGGTCTGATCAGTGTAGTGAGAGAGAGCTGCATATGTCCAGCTGAGCCCACTGTTAAGACCTGGAGCAGCAAGTCCTTGGTCCTAGCTTAGGGACAGTTAATTCAGTCCAACTCTATCCAGCCAACTTCTCCTTCAGACACCGTGCTCAGTACTGGTTCATCAGTGGGTCGTACTGGAACGAACCCACCCTATGCTTCAGAGAGCAGCCATTGGTTACCAGCACTAATACTCAGGCACTGGCCAATCAGCACACTGCCCCTCAGGCAGCAGTCAATGGTTACCAACTATTAATACCAAGGCACCAACCAATCCGCTCCCTGTCCTTCAGCCATTGGTTACTAGCACTAATACCCAGGCACTGACCAATCAACTCACTGGTCCTCAGGGAGTGGTCATTGGTTACCAACAGTTAATACCCAGGCACCGACCAATCATCGTCTTGTCTAGGGGCAGGGGCTGCTCTTTTGGCAAAGTCCTCTCCCCCTTACCTGCGCCGCCCGCCGAAGGCAGCCTGGGCCGATCGCAGGGGCGGGCAGAAGCTGCCGCAAGTAGCCGTGATTACTCGCTCCCGTACGTTAGAGCAGAAGCTCTGTCCACGCCGGTCACAGAGTCGGGCCGGGCGGAAAGACAAGACGGGCAGACGCGATAGGAGAAGACGCAGCAAGAGCAGCAGTTCCGGTTTAGGCCATAGAGAGGCCAGGCTAGAACGGAACTCCCGGAAGGGGGTGTTGCTCCCGCGCTGCCCCTCTCCAAGATGGCGCAGGTAATCCTGCTCTCCGCCCTCTCTCCCCGGAGCTGCGCAAACTCCATAGAGCCGTCTCTAAGATGGCGGCGAGATCTGCCGAGGGGCTGGGCCGGGGTGGGTCAGGGCACACGGCTCGGGCCTAGGAACCTGCGGGGCTTTAACACGTCGAGCCCACAGCGTCCTCCGGGGTCCGTGCTGAGCAGCCAATGCGGGGGCGGAGGGGAGGTGTCAGGGCCGCGCTGGGGGGGCATGGATGGCAGGGGCATAGGACCGGCCTGAGGCGCTCTCCTGCCTCTAGGGGCCCTGGGTTGTGCTTCCACCCACCTAATCTACCGTAGGGCCAGTTCCCAGGCTTTACAGATCAGGAGCTGGATGTTAGTAACAAATGGGTTTCCCCCCGAATGTCGGGGTTTTGTGCTTTCATGTTATGCTGTCAGATTTTCTCTGCACATTGCACTCTAGAACCGTTCTTGGCATGTAATGAATGCAGATTCTCATGGAATCACTAGAGTCCGGGAGCAGCTGGGGCTTTACAGACATCAAAAGGCACAAAACTTGCACTAAAATTGCAGTAGTTGCTAACAGTGTTTGTGAAGCAAGGGGGTCCTACTCACACTCCTGGCTCCACCAAAACCAGGGCAGCTGACCCTTTCTCTCCGTCCCCCTCCAGGGTTGCCAGGTGTGTGGTTTTCAACCGGAATGCCTGGTTGAAAAGGGACCCTGCTGACCCGGCTGTTAAAAGTCTAATCAGCGGTGCAGCAGGGCTAAGGCAGGGTCCCTGCCTGCCGTGGCTCCGTGCAGCTCCCAGAAGCAGCGGCATGTCCCCTGCCCCCCCCCCCCCCCCCGGCTCCTAGGTGTAGGGGCAGCCAGGGGGCTCCATGTGCTGCCCCCACCCCAAGCACCAGCTCGTCAACCCCTTGCCCCTCCAGCTCTCTGAACCCCTCAGTCCCAGCCTGGAGCTCCCTACGGCACCCCAGCCCAGAGCCCCTCATTTTTGGCCCCACCCTGGAACCTGCACCACCAGCCCAGAGCCCACACTCCCTTCCACACTTCAGCCTGGAGCCCCCTCCCATACTCCGAACTGCTTGGCTCCCTCCCTCCCCAACCCGGATTGCACTCCAAACCGCTCATCCCTGGCCCCAGCCCAGAGTCCACACCCCCAGCTGGAGCCCTCACCCCCTCCCATGTCCCAATCTACTGCCTCAGCCCAGAGCCCCCTTCGACACCCTAAACTCCTCATTTCTGGCCCCACCTTAGAGCCTGCACCCCCAGATGGAGCCCTCACCCCCTTCCAACCCCCTGAGCCTGCCCAGTGAAAATGAGCGAGTCAGTGAGGGTGGGGAGAGTGAGCGACAGAGGGAGGGGGGATGGAGGGAGCGGAAGCTGGGCCTCGGAGGAGGAGTGGGGTAGAAGGTGGGGCAAGGCTGTTTGGTTTTGTGAGAGTAGAAAGTTGGTAACCCTACCCCACACACGGGTTTTGTCACCTTTAGAAAAATGTACCAGGGTTAATGTAGATTGTTCCCCCTTAATAAAGTGAAAAGCACCTTGTGTCCATGTACAGAAGTGCTTCAACCAGTGTTATGTAACAATTAGAGTATGCTCTGCCTGAAATTTTTAGGGGTAATACTTCAATCAGTTGGGGATCAATCCAGCATGAACATTGGCACAATTGTGCATTACTGACTGACACAGCTTAGAAGTGACAGGCCCTTCAGCCAGTGAGCCTCCTTAGTTGCCAGCTAAGAGTCCCCTTTCAAACCATGACTTCCTCAGAGTACTCTTCCCCAGAAGTGGTCCCCCACTCCCTCCAGAAGCTCCATGTTCAACTAAGGGTTCCTGCATAGACATTCTAAGCTAATAATCCAGGTGTGAACTTCTGACACATTTCCCTCTGGGGTCCCCCTCCTAGCAGTGGCCTCCAGAGTATACAGTCTCCTGTTAAATGTTCCCCTCTGCCCATGAACCACCCCATTAACCCTCATCCCTGAAATGCCCTGCCCCCACTTCAGTCATACCTCTTGTCCTGGCCACCAGATGTCCCAAACTGAGCCAACTGTGGCTCACCAGCTGCAAGTACAGGTGCCAAATCATGACTTACGGCTGATGAACCAAATAATACAGATGCTTGGATTCCATTGACAGCAGTCCCCCGCACCTCCATACCCCCTCCCCCCCGGGGCCAAAAGAAAGTGCCTTATTAGGGCTCTGCTTTGTCGGAGCTGTTTAAGTCCAACAGAGCAACATCATCTTTTGATGACGATGAATAATTTTTTGCAAAGGATTCAACAGTGTCACTGTTGAGCAGAGGTGGGCAAACCACGGCCTGCGGGCCACATCTGGCCCACGGGACCGTCCTGCCCAGCCCTTGAGCTCCCGGCCAGGGAGGCTAGCCCCAGCCCTCCCCTGCTGTCCTCCCTCCCATGCTGTTGTGTGGGTAGCACAGCTGGCTCCGGCTGGGCGGCGCAGCTGCTAGTCCTGCCGCTCTGAGCAGCATGGCGGGGGGGGGGGAGTGTTGGATAAGGGGTAAGGGGTTCCAGGGGGCAGTCAGAGGACAAGGAGCAGGGGGGCTTCGATGAGTTGGAAGTTCTGGAGGGGGCGAGGGCCAGGCTGTTTGGGGAGGCACAGCCTTTCCTACCCGGCCCTCCATACAGTTTTGCAACCCTGATGTGGCTCTCGAGCCAAAAAGTTTCCCCACCCCTGCTGTAGAGTGTTCAGCACCAGATCCTGTGGGTATTTTGAGGTTTATAGGGGGATTGGATACTTTAGGGGCAGTAGTTGGATGATGTGGCCAGGATGCATTTTAAAGGGTGGGGTGAGGAGGTTGGATCTTCTTTGAGATCACAGCCCATCCACTCTACAGATGCATCAGTTTAAGGCAGCCCTAGTGTAGATGCAGGGTAAAGCTCAGACTGTTTCAGAGTGGCTAGTGTGGACACACTCAGTTCTTTGTGTTTCAAAAGTTGAAGCACAATGGATTGAGCATTTGTAATATTGAAAAGCTAATATTTAAGAAATTCAGTCAAAAAAGTGACAAAACTAACCAAATAATAAATATTAACATTATATAAAGAAGTTAGACCAGCAGGACAGTTTCATTGTGCAGACATCTAGATGGACTGATCTAAGAGAGTAGCTATCCAACAGTATCTGTGTATACCATAATATCTTAGAATGTCTTTTTTCATGTAAACTTTGTCCTTTTCTCAGCCTGTTCTGATGTTTGTTCTTGCTGCAAAAATCTAATTTTGAGTTTCATTTTACTTTCAGGTTGTTAAAATTACAAGACAATAAAGAATAGTGATGGAGCCGTTGGATACAGGATCTAAAGCAAAGAAAACTCTAGGAAACATTGACTATGTAGAGTCATCAGAATTTTCCCAAGGAATTCTGCCTACAAATAAGGATGTCATTCAGAACATGTTGTATCTGTTGCAACGCAAAAGAGTTGGGCAAGCACAACAGTCAAAAGAAGATGCAGCCCAATTGCTTGCTGAACTTCTGCAGGAACACTGGCTGTTTTGCAACTTACACACCATAGCAACAAAAAATATAAAGACTAATATTCTCAAAATGTATGAAGAATTCACAAAACTCTATCAAACTAGAAAGGAGAGACAAAATCAGTCATTTACAGAAAAGGCAGACACATTCAACAGGAGTTCAGAACAGCTCTTTGACATATTTTGTACAGACACAGTGATAAGAAATGAGATGGAACAATGCAGTGGTATAAAAATGACAGACGTTGAGTGGAAATTTCTTGAAGATCAAAGAAGTGAAAGAAAAATATACCATAAAGATATCATGGACAAGAAAGAAATTAAGATGATGGAAAGAAGAAAACTCCAGTGCCTGGAGCACTTGAGAAAAATTGCAGAAAAAAAAGAAGCAAGTGAAGTCAAAGAAGAGACTTACAAAACTGATGAGAAGTCAGATGAAGGTATAAGTGTAAATGAATCATATGTTGTAGAAGAGTTGGATGATGAAGGTGTTCCAGATTTTTCATCTAAAGGGAAAAGAAAGCATCTGTATTCCACATGGACTGCCAGCTCACCAACATCAGCTGGTGATAGTATGCCTCTTGAGTGTCAACATATACGTATAAGCATCAGGAAAGTTAGGCCTGGGTTCTATGAGACAGTTGACAAGTTTAAAAACTGCTAGTACATGTCCGTCTCAAGCCGAGGCTACTGTAGTAGAAGTTAGCAACAAAATGTGTAGGAGATCTTGAAATACCATGATCATTTGGAAGTCACTGATGTAGATACTCTAATATTATGTCTACACTACGGAATAAGGTCGAATTTATAGAAGTCGGTTTTTTAGAAATCAGTTTTATATATTCGAGTGTGTGTGTCCCCACAGAAAATGCTCTAAGTGCATTAACTCGGCGGAGTGCATCCACAGTACCGAGGCTAGAGTCGACTTCCGGAGCGTTGCACTGTGGATAGCTATCCCACAGTTCCTGCAGTCTCCGCTGCCCATTGGAATTCTGGGTTGAGATCCCAATGCCTGATAGGGCTAAAACATTGTCGCGGGTAGTTCTGGGTACATATCATCAGGCCCCCCTTCCCTCCCTCCCTCCGTGAAAGCAAGGGCAGACAATCGTTTCGCGCCTTTTTTCCTGAGTTACCTGTGCAGATGCCATACCACGGCAAGCATGGAGCCCGATCAGGTAACCGTCACAGTATGTCTCCTGGGTGCTGGAAGACGCGGTACGGCATTGCTACACAGTAGCAGCAACCCATTGCCTTCTGGCAGCAGACGGTGCAGTACGACTGGTAGCCGTCCTCGTCATGTCCGAGGTGCTCCTGGCCACGTTGGCTGGGAGCGCCTGGGCAGACATGAGCGCAGGGACTAAATTTAGAGTGACTTGACGAGGTCATTCTCTTTAGTTCTGCAGTCAGTCCTATTGAACCGTCTTATGGTGAGCAGGCAGGTGATACGGATTGCTAGCAGTCGTACTGTACCATCTTCTGCCGAGCAGCTATGAGATGTGGATGGCATGCAGTCCTTCTGCACCGTCTGCTGCCAGCCAAAGATGTAAAAGATAGATGGAGTGGATCAAAACAAGAAATAGACCAGATTTGTTTTGTACTCATTTGCTTCCCCCCCTCCCATGTCTAGGGGACTCATTCCTCTAGGTCACACTGCAGTCACTCACAGAGAAGGTGCAGCGAGGTAAATCTAGCCATGTATCAATCAGAGGCCAGACTAACCTCCTTGTTCCAATAAGAACAATAACTTAGGTGCACCATTTCTTATTGGAACCCTCCGTGAAGTCCTGCCTGAAATACTCCTTGATGTAAAGCCAGCCCCTTTGTTGATTTTAGCTCCCTGAAGCCAACCCTGTAAGCCGTGTCCTCAGTTGCCCCTCCCTCCATCAAAGCAACGGCAGACAATCGTTCCGCGCCTTTTTTCTGTGTGGACGCCGTACCAAGGCAAGTATGGAGTCCGCTCAGCTCACTTTGGCAATTAGGAGCACATTAAACACCACACGCATTATCCAGCAGTATATGCAGCACCAGAACCTGGCAAAGCGATACTGGGCGAGGAGGCAACGTCAGCGCGGTCACGTGAGTGATCAGGACATGGACACAGATTTCTCTGAAAGCATGGGCCCTGCCAATGCATGCATTGTGGTGCTAATGGGGCAGGTTCATGCTGTGGAACGCCGATTCTGGGCTCGGGAAACAAGCATAGACTGGTGGATCCGCATAGTGTTGCAGTGATTCCCAGTGGCTGCGAAACTTTCGCATGTGTAAGGGCACTTTCATGGAACTTTGTGACTTGCTTTCCCCTGCCCTGAGGTGCATGAATACCAAGATGAGAGCAGCCCTCACAGTTGAGAAGCGAGTCGTGATAGGCCTGTGGAAGCTTGCAACGCCAGACAGCTACCAGTCAGTTGGGAATCAATTTGGAGTGGGCAAATCTACTGTTGGGGCTGCTGTGATGCAAGTAGCCCACGCAATCAAAGATCTGCTGATATCAAGGGTAGTGACCCTGGGAAATGTGCAGGTCATAGAGGATGGCTTTGCTGCAATGGGATTCCCTAACTGTGGTGGGGCCATAGACGGAACCCATATCCCTATCTTGGCACCGGAGCACCAAGCCGCTGAGTACATAAACCGCAAGGGGTACTTTTCAATAGTGCTGCAAGCTCTGATGGATCACAAGGGACGTTTCACCAACATCAACGTGGGATGGCCGGGAAAGGTACATGACGCTGCATCTTCAGGAACTCTGGTCTGTTTCAAAAGCTGCAGGAAGGGACTTTATTCCCAGACCAGAAAATAACTGTTGGGGATGTTGAAATGCCTATAGTTACCCTTGGGGACCCAGCCTACCCCTTAATGCCATGGCTCATGAATCCGTACACAGGCAGCCTGGACAGTAGTCAGGAGCTGTTCAGCTACAGGCTGAGCAAGTGCAGAATGGTGGTAGAATGTGCATTTGGACATTTAAAGGCGCACTGGCGCAGTTTACTGACTCGCTTAGACCTCAGTGAAACCAATATTCCCACTGTTATTCCTGCTTGCTGTGTGCTCCACAATATCTGTGAGAGTAAGGGAGAGACATTTATAGCAGGGTGGGAGGTTGAGGCAAATCGCCTGGCTGCTGGTTACGCGCAGCCAGACACCAGGGCGGTTAGAAGAGCACAGGAGGGCGCGGTACGCATCAGAGAAGCTTTGAAAACCAGTTTCGTGACTGGCCAGGCTACGGTGTGAAAGTTCTGTTTGTTTCTCCTTGATGAAACCCCCCTCCCCTTGGTTCACTCTACTTCCCTGTAAGCTAACCACCCTCTCCTCCTCCCTTCAATCACCGCTTGCAGAGGCAATAAAGTCAATGTTGCTTCACATTCATGCATTCTTTATTCATTCATCACACAAATAGGGGGATGACTACCAAGGTAGCCCAGGAGGGGTGGTGGAGGAGGGAAGGAAAATGCCACACAGCACTTTAAAAGTTTACAACTTTAAAATTTATTGAATGCCAGCCTTCTTTTTGGGCAATCCTCTGTGGCGGAGTGGCTGGTTGGCCGGTGGCCCCCCCACCGTGTTCTTGGGCGTCTGGGTGTGGAGGCTATGGAACCTGGGGAGGAGGGCGGTTGGTTACACAGGGGCTGTAGTGGCAGTCTGTGCTCCAGCTGCCTTTGCTGCAGCTCAACCATACACTGGAGCATACTGGTTTGGTCCTCCAGCAGCCTCAGCATTGAATCCTGCCTGCTCTCATCACGCTGCCGTCACATTTGAGCTTCAGCCCTGTCTTCAGCCCGCCGCTTACTCTCTTCAGCCCGCCACCTCTCCTCCCGGTCATTTTGTGCTTTCCTGCACTCTGACATTATTTGCCTCCACGCATTCGTCTGTGCTCTGTCAGTGTGGGAGGACAGCATGAGCTCAGAGAACATTTCATCTCGAGTGCGTTTTTTTTTTCTTTCTAAGCTTCACTAGCCTCTGGGAAGAAGATCCTGTGATCATTGAAACACATGGAGCTGGTGGAGAAAAAAAAAGGGACAGCGGTATTTAAAAAGACACATTTTATAAAACAGTGGCTACACTCTTTCAGGGTAAACCTTGCTGTTAACATTACATACATAGCACATGTGCTTTCGTTACAAGGTGGCATTTTGCCTCCCCCCACCGCGTGGCTACCCCCTCAACCCTCCCCCCTCCCTGTGGCTAACAGCGGGGAACATTTCTGTTTAGCCACAGGCAAACAGCCCAGCAGGAATGGGCTCCTCTGAGTGTCCCCTGAAGAAAAGCACTCTATTTCAAGCAGATGACCATGAATTATATCTCACTCTCCTGAGGATAACACAGAGAGATAAAGAACGGATGTTGTTTGAACGCCAGCAAACATACACTGCAATGCTTTGTTGTACAATGATTCCCGAGTACGTGTTACTGGCCTGGAGTGGTAAAGTGTCCTACCATGAAGGACGCAATAAGGCTGCCCTCCCCAGAAACCTTTTGCAAAGGCTTTGGGAGTACATCCAGGAGAGCCGTGAATGCCTGAACAAAGTAATCCTTTCACATGCTTGCTTTTAAACCATGTATAGTATTTTAAAAGGTACACTCACCGGAGGTCCCTTCTCCGCCTGCTGGGTCCAGGAGGCAGCCTTGGGTGGATTCGGGGGGTACTGGCTCCAGGTCCAGGGTGAGAAACAGTTCCTGGCTGTTGGGAAAACCGGTTTCTCCGCTTGCTTGCTGTGAGCTATCTACAACCTCCTCCTCATCATCATCTTCTTCGTCCCCAAAACCTGCTTCCGTATTGCCTCCATCTCCATTGAAGGAGTCAAACAACAGAGCTGGGGTAGTGGTGGCTGAACCCCCTAAAATGGCATGCAGCTCATCATAGAAGTGGCATGTTTGGGGCTCTGACCCGGAGCGGCCATTTGCCTCTCTGGTTTTCTGGTAGGCTTGCCTCAGCTCCTTCAGTTTCACGCGGCACCGCTTCGGGTCCCTGTTATGGCCTCTGTCCTTCATGCCCTGGGAGATTTTGACAAAGGTTTTGGCATTTCGAAAACTGGAACGGAGTTCTGATAGCACGGATTCCTCTCCCCATACAGCGATCAGATCCCGTACCTCCCGTTCGGTCCATGCTGGAGCTCTTTTGTGATTCTGGGACTCCATCATGGTCACCTGTGCTGATGAGCTCTGCATGGTCACCTGCAGCTTGCCACGCTGGCCAAACAGGAAATGAGATTCAAAAGTTTGCGGTTCTTTTCCTGTCTACCTGGCCAGTGCATCTGAGTTGAGAGCGCTGTCCAGAGCGGTCACAATGGAGCACTCTGGGATAGCTCCCGGAGGCCAATACCGTCGAATTGTGTCCACAGTACCCCAAATTCGAGCCGGCAAGGCCGATTTAAGTGCTAATCCACTTGTCAGGGGTGGAGTAAGGAAATCGATTTTAAGAGCCCTTTAAGTCGAAATGAAGGGCTTCATCGTGTGGACGGGTGCAGGTTTACATCGATTTAATGCTGCTAAATTCGACCTAAAGTCCTAGTGTAGACCAGGGCTAACGTTCAGAAATATCCACCTTGGAGGGAAGAGCATTGAAGTAATGAGATTGGGAGAAACTGTAAAAGATTATGAACTCCAAAGGAAAAAGAAGTCCTTAACTAATGATATGAAGGCTTAGAGATCTGGCGGTTATGGAGCACAACAAGTCTCTTCATCTAAGGCCCTGTCTATACTAGACTTTTTTGGGGGAAAACTCCCACCATTGCAGCTCTACTAGTGATAACAATGGTGGGCCAATAGTGTCGACAGGACTCCAGTTGACTACTGGGGAGTAATACAAAATTGTTGATAAAGCTAATTTAAAGTACAGATGCTGAGCAGTCACAACTCCCATTAATTTCAGTGGGAATTGAGGATGCTCAGTACCTTTTAGAATTGGGACTAATTATCTTTGTCCTTCGACTGCTTTGAAATCCCAGTCCCAGGGAGTACCTACTTAAATTAGTAGTTTTAATGTTGCATTTCAGATTCATATGGAATAAAGAACTACTGCTGGTATTGTGAAGGAGGTATTGTGAATGGCCTTGCCTCTCAGGCTCAAGTATATGTATCTACATTATCTCTCTCCCTCAAAGGATGTAACTGTCTGCCTCTCTGAATAATATACTTAGCTTTTCTTATTGGTTACTTGGTTAACTTTCACATAAATAACTGCTGAAGTCCCTTAAGGATTTATTCCAAAATATTAACCAAACTCAGTTCAGTAAACATAGTTTTTACTCTGTCATTAACAAAGTTTAAAAGCAAATTAAATTTAATGATTGCATGCCACATTTAAACTTCTTGCCTTCAAGACCTGAGATATATATTAGACCTTTAACCAGTCACTGGGCACTAACAGCAGCAGCACTGCTTGAACAACAAATGTGGCCAGTCTTAGATCTTGGAACAGTATGATTTTCAATCCCTGCTGTAAGACCTACTTCACACTACACATACAGCAAGTGATGTAAACTGAAATGTATTAAACAGGAACCCAGCGTGGTTTGAATATGATTTTTAACACTGTTGTGTAGTGCTTTGATAATGTTCCTAGTTTGTAGAGGTTAAGGCTAGATGGGACCATTAGATCATCTAATCTAACCCCTTGTAAATCAGAGGCCAGATGTCCAGCGCTTGCATTATTTACATGATCCTTTGAGGAGATACCCAAGAGTCAGTATGTATTCGTTATCATGGCATCTCTGAGCACTCAATGCCTATTTTGTTATGCTAACACCCACTTTATCTTACGCATATTTCTAATGGTTTTAACATCTTTTCCTTATCTGTATTTTTAATCCCATTTCTCTTGAGGATTCCCACTGCTAATTGGTTTATTAGTCACTTACATCACAATAATTATATATATGTCAATTAGTTACCATTTGCCTGCTATAGCCATGTTGGTCCCAGGATATTAGAGGGACAAGGTGGGTGAGGTAATATTGTTTATTGGACCAGCTTCTGTTGGTGAAAGAGACAAGCTTTTGCTCTTATACAGAGCTCTTCTTCAGGTCAGGCAAAGGTACTCAGGTCTGGTCTACACTACAGACCTATATCGGTATAAATATGTTGCTCAGGGGTGTGAAAATCCACATTTTCATACCTCTGAGCGACATAGTTATACTAACTTAACCCCCCCATGTAGACAGCACTATGTTGGTGCGGAGGTGGATTAACTACACTGACCGGAGAGCTCTCTCCTGTCAGCTTAGAGCAGTGGTTTTCAAAGTGTGGGGCGTGACCCAGTACTGGGTTGCGGAATGTAAGGCATTGGGTTGCAGTGGCTCTGGTCAGCACTGCTGACTGGGCCGTTAAAAGTCCCGTCGGCGGTACTGCCCAGCTAAGGCAGGCTAGTCCCTACCTGTTCTGACACCGTGCTGCACCCCGGAAGCGGCCGGCAGCAGGTCCAACTCCTAGGCAGGGGGGCCACGGGGCTCTGCACACTGTCCCCACACCGAGCACTGGTTCTGGCACTCCCATTGGCCAGTTCCCAGCCAATGGGAGATGGGGGGTGTGTGTGCCTGCAAGCGAGAGTCTCTTGCGCACCTCTGCCTAGCAGCCGGACCTGCTGCTGGCCGCTTCCAGGGTGCAGCGTCGTCTGCGGTGCCAGGACAGGCAGGAAGCCTGCCTTAGCACCCCCGCTGACCGGGAGCTGCCCGAGGTAAGCCCACGCCCCAATCCCCTGCCCCAGCCTGGAGCTCCCCCAAACCCCTCATCACCAGCCCCACCCCAGAGCCCTGACTCCCTCTCAGACCCCTAGCCCCACCCCACAGCCCTCACCCCTGCACCCCAACCCTTTGCCCCAGCCCTGAGCCCTTCCCACCCCTTATCCCCAGCTCTGTTGGGTCACGGGCATCAACAATTTTCTTCAATTGGATTGCCAGAAAAAAAGTTTGAAAACCACTGTGTCTTCATTAAAGCGCTACAGTGGTGCAGCTGCACCAATGCAGCCTTTTAACAGTATACTTGCCTTCAGTGTCACAGCTAAGGACAAGGTGGAGCAGATAAGGAGTTAACACGTTGCAAAGAGACGATTCAATGTGAAGTGTGCAGTTAACACCTCCGCAGTCATAGGACAGAGGAGGGTTAGTGGGTTACAAATTGTTGTAATGAGCCATAAACCCAGTGTTTTTATTGTGTCCATGATTTTTAGTGTCCAGTTAAGTTATGAATTTAAGCTCTCAGGCTCTATTCAAGGGGTTTTGCAGGTTTCCTTTGATATGAGAACTGAGAGGTCAAATATAGAGTGATTGTTGCAGGCGAAGGGCTTTCTGCAGTAAGCAGCAGCCATGAGGGGTAAGAGGCAGGGAGTCATATGATGTCCCATCTAAACTGCACCAAAATAATATGT